AAAAATTGCTTTCTGTATCCTAAATTTAAGTCTATTTTCAAGTTGTACAATAATCACAATTTTTATTGTACAAAAATTGAATGTTTTCTGTATCCTAAATTTAAGTTGTATAAAAATCACACAAAAATTGAACATTTTCTATATCCTAAATTTAAGTTGTACAAAAATTGCATACTTTTAATATGCTTTGAAAAACTTCAAAACTATTTTTATCCAAAAATCTGCAATAATTGTACAATTTCCACACGGACTTGAACAAATATTGTACAAAAATTGGATGATTTTTTTTCATAGGGTCTTAGATCATGTTTTTGATTATATTTAAAAATCCTTGAAACCAAGATGCTCTACTGTGTAAGAAATTATATTATTTAATCTTACTAATTTATTAATAACACATATAGCTAAATGATTCATAACTAGCAGCAGTGGCAGGTAAAAAATAATTTAGCTATTTTTAATATTGCTAAATATTAACTAATTAAATGATTTTGCCAATAGAAGGGATCTTTTCCGATGGAGCTGATTTGATAACAGCAGTAACAGCAGCAAAAAGAAGCAATCTCAAAACAAATACAATTTGTACTTGTATGAGTTTGAAATCATGGTGGGAGTAAGGAAGAATTATGTATTTTATAATTTTATAATAAAAATTTAAATAAAACTTATCAAAATCGTTTTTTTGTAAAAGTTGTGCGACATACATTATTATTGTCTTGCAATCATGAACAAATTTGTTAAAAATTTTATTTGACCCGGGTCATCCGGGGGTTAAACTATAACGGGTCAGAGGTCGGGTTATATAAATATTAACCCGGGTATTTGTGCGGGTTGATTTTTATAGTCGGGTCGAGTTCGAATATATCCTCAAACCCGACCCGATTCGACCCTTTCAGAACACCAATTTCAAGTCACCTTATTACGTATATGACGGAAATATTTAATTTTATTGAATTTCTCTATTAAACCAATTTTTTTATTTTTACAGTTACACATACAGTATAAAAAAATCCAATTATAAATAAAATGCTTTTTGTTTGTTATGTGGTAGTTTTAATGATTTATTCAATTAATTTACACAATTTCGATCTTGGACGTTATTTAATCTGAACAAATATTATTTAAAACAACATATTGAGTTATTTATTCATCTCATATACTAATTTTTGCTCCTAGTTTCATTGATTCTGGCTGGTGAACCAGTGTAATCATTTGTAATCATCTGGACCCATATCTTCCGTAGTCATTACATGGAATCCAAGCTAATTCCACATAGGATCCAACTGGCGAAAACTATACATAATATGGTTTGTCCAGGTCAACCAGAATCACATAAGGAGTATACACGTGATTGCTGCCACGCCCAATAAACTCCCCCAGCGTAACCAACAAACAAGCTCGGGCACGTGATATAAAGTGTGGCGTCTAAATTTTGATTGGTCGGGCTTGTGTAACATTTAACTTTGAATTTTTTCAATTTTTTTGTAAATGTTTTGTTTTTTTTTCAAAGACTTTTGTAAAAAAGTCAATAGAAATAAAATAAATTTTAGTTTTAATATTTTTATTATATTGTTTTTGAATGATACTGTAAACAATACAGAAAAATTTTTACTTGATATATTTATGAAATAAAAATTTTTTTTTTTTTGTTTTTAAAATTCTCTGTATAACTGATAAAGTAAAGTAACATATACCTGACTAAAAATATACAAGTTTATGCTATTTATACAAAAAAGTCAAAATATATAAAATTAATGTATATATAAATACTTTAATACTTGCTAAAACAAACTTTAAAAATTTCTCAGGGGAGAGATCGATTGGTCAACAACATTACGATTTATTAATAATCGTAATGAATTTTCCTTTATCAATGTGGTACGAACGATACGAAGGATAGATCATATAAAATAAAAAATTTAATCAAGGAGCTTCCAACATACGCAGTTCTGATGAAACGAAAAATTAATGGTATAGAAACGGATATATGTCCAAGATGTAAAAAATTTAGTGAAGATTGGGAGCATATATGGATATGTAAAGCGAATGAATTGGAGATAAATGAATTGATTAGATGATCGTTATGTGAATACGAACAAATACTCGTGGATAAGAACAAGAACGAAGATATAGATGTTATGAAAGATGTATCATCAAAATAATGGACCAACCATCTTTAGTTTTAATTGGTAAAAAACGCATTTGGAAATTTTTGAGAGGAGCGTATAACTTTAATAAAATATCTAACAAACAAAAAACAAAGAAAGTAATAGAAGATATGTGGATATTTTGTTACAATCAGTTCAGACTAAAGATATGGAATCAAAGATGCGAGATAGTATCAGAAATAGAAAAAGATCAAGGATTAACGAAAAAAGATCTACGGTTGAAAAGAAAAGCATATGATGTTATTGATGATGTGGACGCGACTAGAAAAATGAACGAAAATGGAAAAACAAATAAAAATGATAAAAACATACAAAAAAAATTAATTAAAAAAATTAAATTAGTAATGAAAGATCGTTTGATAGGTAAGATCACGGAAGAAGACTCGATTAAAAATAATTGGTATACAATGACGAAATTAGCTCAATAAATTATAGTTTAGTAATTTATAGCTAGGATTAATTGTAATTATTTTTTAGACTAGATTACTTTAGTTATAGAGGATATTATATTTTATATAATGTTTTCTAGGTGTTTTGATATTTTGTAATTCATTTAATTTTACTAAATTAATAAACGCGTTACTAATTTTAAAAATAAAATGTATAAAGAAATAGGTGAACGGGCAAGTTAATATGACGCGAGAAAAAAAAATATTTATTTATATCGCATCAAAACACAGCCACATCACGGATCACGTGCCCGAGCTTTTTTTGGTTACGCTAGGGAATATCGGAATATCACGTCAATCGCATTTAAACATTTTACATACACTTCAATAAGATAACGTGATTAAAATAGGATGTGGCGTTCGCGTTGTTTATATTTATCTCTGCGACTTTTTTTTGAGTGGTCTGATTCTTATTCGTCACCCCTGTAAGTGTACAAATTGTTTGAATGCACGCCAATCAGTTCCCATCTGCGGATGAGCGGATGATCAGATTGATCAGTGTCAATTACGTTGTGAATATCATGTGATCGCAGATCCTTTGTGTTTCCTGTGTGACGTTGATTTTTCGGAAAACCCCTTCTATTACACCGACTTGTTGATTTAACCTATCTTAGTTAAAAATAATTTCTTTATTAAAAAATGTCTGATTTTGAAAACAATGAAAATAAATTATTTTACCAGTATAAAATAGCAGCAGAAATTGGTGATAAAGTTGCAATGTTTAATTTAGCAATATGTTATGAAAATGGAGAAGGAATAAAAAAGAATTTAGAAAAAGCCTTTTATTGGTATCAGAAAGCAGCTAAAAATGGTAATGAATATGCAATGAATAATTTAGCCATATGTTATGAAAATGGAGAAGGAATAGAAAAGAATTTAGAAAAAGCCTTTTATTGGTATCAAAAAGCAGAAGAAAATGGTAATAAAGATGCAATATCTAATTTAGCCTTATGTTATGGAGAAGGAATTGGTATTGAAAAGGATGAAGTCAAAGCCTTTTATTGGTATCAAAAAGCAGCAGAGAATGGTAATGAATATGCAATGAATTATTTAGCTATATATTATGAAAATGGAAAAGGAAAAGAAAAGAATTTAGAAAAAGCCTTTTATTGGTATCAAAAAGCAGCAGAAAATGGTAATGAAGATGCAATGAACAATTTGGCCATATGTTATAAAAATGGAAAAGGAACAGAAAAGAATTTTAAAAAAGCTTTTTATTGGTATCAAAAATCAGCAGAAAATGGGAAAAATGAAGCAATGAATAATTTAGCAATATTCTATGAAAATGGAGAAGGAACAGAAAAAAAATTAGAAAAAGCCTTTTATTGGTATCAAAAAGCAGCAGAAAATTATAATAAAGTTGCAATGTATAATTTAGCCTTATGTTATAAAAATGGAAAAGGAACAGAAAAGAATTTAGAAAAAGCTTTTTATTGGTATCAAAAAGCAGCAGAAATAGATTATATTAAAGCAATGAATAGTTTAGCTATATGCTATGGAAATGGGGAGGGAACAGAAAAGAATTCAGAAAAGGCCTTTTATTGGTATAATAAAGCAGCAGAAAATGGTAATGAAGCTGCAATGAATAATTTAGCCTTTTGTTATAAAATTGGAAAAGGAATAGAAATGGATTTAGAAAAAGCCTTCTATTGGTATCAAAAAGCAGCAGAAATAGATTATATTAAAGCAATGTTTAATTTGGCCGTATGTTATGAAAGTGGGAAAGGAATAGAAAAGAATTTTAAAAAAGCTTTTCATTGGTATCAAAAAGCAGCAGAAAATGGAAAAAATGAAGCAATGAATAATTTAGCAATATGCTATGAAAATGGAGAAGGAACAGAAAAAAATTTAGAAAAAGCCTTTTATTGGTATCAAAAAGCAGCAGAAAATGGTAATAAAGTTGCAATGTATAATTTAGCCTTATGTTATGAGGAAGGAATTGGTACTGAAAAAAATGAAGTTGAGGCCCTTTATTGGTATCAAAAAGCAGCAGAAAATGGTAATGAAGTTGCAATGAACAATTTAGCCATATGTTATAAAAATGGAAAAGGAACAGAAAAGAATTTAAAAAAAGCCTTTTGTTGGTATCAAAAAGCAGCAGAAAATGGTAGTAAAGTTGCAATGAAAAGTTTAGCCATATGTTATGAATATGGAAAAGGTACAGAAAAGAATTTAGAGAAAGCCATTTACTGGTATCAAGAAGTAGAAAATGGTAATGAAATTGCAATGAATAGTTTAGCAATATGCTATAAAAATGGAGAAGAAACAAAAAGGAAATTAGAAAAAGCCTTTTATTGGTATCAAAAAGCAGCAGAAAATGGTAATATAGATGCAATGTCTAAATTGGCCTTGTGTTTTGGAGAAGGAATTGGTATTGAAAAAGATGAAGCCAAAGCATTTTATTGGTATCAAAAAGCAGCAGAAAATGGTAATGAAGTTGCAATGAATAGTTTAGCAACATGCTATGAAAATGGAAAAGGAACAGAAAAAAAATTAGAAAAAGCCTTTTATTGGTATCAGAAAGCAGCAGAAAATGGTAGTAAAGTTGCAATGAAAAGTTTAGCCATATGTTATGAATATGGAAAAGGTACAGAAAAGAATTTAGAGAATGCCTTTTGTTGGTATCAAAAAGCAGTAAAAAATGGTAATGATGATGCAATGAAAAATTTAGCCATGTGTTATGAAAATGGAAATGGAACAGAAAAGAATTTAGAAAAAGCCTCTTATTGGTATCAAAAAGCAGCTCAGCAAGGGATTAGTAATGTTCAGTATAAACCTGGATTTCTTTATAGAATTGGTAAAGTGAAAAAAGTATTAGAAAAGCATGTTTATTGGTCTAAAAATGCAGAAAAAGAAAGTTTAAGTGCAAATAAATGGATTGAAAATGCTCTAAAATATGGAAAAGTTAAATTTATATCTTATAAAGAGCTAAAAAATACAGAAAGACTTTATGCGGGAGGATTTGGAACAATATCAAAAGCAATTTGGACTAAAACTAATAATTATGTTATTTGTAAAAAATTGACTAATACAACTTATATTAAGAATGATCTATTAGATGCATTTATTCATGAACTAAAAGTGCATCTGCACCTTAATTATAGTGACAGAATTATACGTTGTTTTGGTATTAGTTTAGGTAATTTGATTATTTATCTACATTGCATTTTTATTTTTTATTTTTTTTTAAAAATTTCTTATAAATTTTTTCTTTAGATCCAAAAACAAATGAATATTTTCTTATTATGCAGTACGCTAATGACGGAGATCTTCAAAATTATCTCAAAAATACTTTTAAGGATTTGACATGGGATGATAAGAAAAAATTAGCATTTCAAATTGCAGATGGATTAAATTATTTGCATAATGAAAATATTTTACATAGAGATCTTGTAAGTATTATTATTTTTATCTAATATCATTATAGTACTAAATAAATGATAATGTTCTACTTTATTTTTTTTATTTTAGCATTCTAAGAATATAGTTATTCATGAAAATAATGCTAAAATTATGGACTTTGGTATTTCAAAAAATCAAGATAATCAAACTTCAACAGCCTATGTTGGTAATTTTGGTGTTGTTGCTTATATGGAACCAAGACGTTTTGTAGATCCAAATTTTCTATATATTAATGCTTCAGACGTCTATAGCTTTGGTGTATTAATGTGGGAGATTTCTAGTGGATATCCTCCATTTAAAGATAATGATAATAAAGTTGCACTTGCTGTTTCTATTAGTAATGGTGCTCGTGAGGTTACAATTCTAGGTACCCCTAAAGAATATGAAAATCTTTATAAAAATTGTTGGAACCAAGAACCTGAAGAAAGATCAACTATTAATGAAATATTGGATGAATTTGAAAGAATGGGTTTTGGAAATATTGCTACTAACGAAGGTATTTATTTATTATTCACATCCGTATATTTGTTGTAGGCCAAACTTGACCATGCCTTGCCATCGGCTTAAATTATCGGCCAATCTAATAATGTCTCAAGACTGTACCAGATAATGGTGTAATTAGCCGAAAAACGGAGCCGAATACCTGATTCCGGACCGGTTTAATTGCAGAAAATCCCTGGAACTCCACGACGATCTAGACCTGAACGGGTCCGGATCACGTTGCGGCTAATTATTTTTCGGCTAACTACACCATTATCTAATTTAGGTCGATGGTAAGGTTTGGGACATGGTCTACAACATATATTTACTAATATATTGATGAAAATAAAATAAATCTGTTTATTAAAGGTAGTGACAATTTAACTCCAGAATTACAAGTTAGTGATAATTCTGCTCAATTCTCTTCAAATTTACACAGTAAGTTTATAACTCTGCTTATTAAGATTTGATATTGAACTAATATTTTTAAATATTTTGTTAAATTTAGTTGACCTGGACAATGTATAATTTTCGTCATAACAACATTCAAAGCAATTAGATTTGCGAAGTAAAAAAATATAAAAATAGACGTGTTTTCCATTTTAAAGGCTGACAAATAAATAAAATTAAAATTGAACATTCATTTAATTTAAGATACTAACCAAATCGCCAATAAATACTATTCTGCAATATTTTTTAAATAATAGAACCTTAGATTAATTAATATTTATTTAACCATTTTGCTCATACATTAAAAGGAATTTACTAATTGTAAGATAAGGAATACAAGCTTCTTTTTTTGATTCTTTTTTTTTTTTTTGGTAAATGATATACTTTATTATTTATATGATGAAAACAATAAAATACATCTGGAGTTTGGACTCAAGAATAAGCCTATTCCCTCCGGTGAAGTTGTAGTACCATTACCTACTACATGAAATTTGAAGGATCAATATAGTAAATTCTTCAAAAATACTAAATAATAAAAATACATATAAAGAAAGTCCTTAACGCGTTGGAAATATTTTTAACGTGAAATCACGTGACTTCGACACGATTATAATCTAACCTATCCTAATATACTCACTTTTCACTCACCATCTTTTCTTGAACTATTTCTCTTTTGGACTCTTCAGTCTTCACAGCCCGCTTGTTATTATATTTGTCTCGTCTCGTTCCCTGTTCTCTTCCAGTCTTCCTTAACTCTCTTTTCAAAATCCACATTAATAAGCTGCGTATACTTTTGTATCACACCATGTGATTACTCCTCTTTAATCAATTTTTCTCAAAGCTTAATCAAGGATTCTAGAGATTTAATCATCATTGCCACCTCTTCCGCATTCATCTGATTTTTGATATTTTCCCATTTCATTTGTTCTCCTGCCATAATAAACATCATTTTGTCTATCGAACTTCGAGATGGTGAAGCAACGTATGGTTGTTATGGAACTAACGATTTTTGTTCCTTCCCTTGTTCGTTGATGATATTCACCACTTCTTCCGTTGAGAAATTATCTTTCTTCAACGCTTCTTTTACCGATTTTTCTTTAAAGTCGTTTACATCCAAACCTCTCCTGAACTGGTTAATTGTATCTACCACTTTATCCTCAGATACTGTCGTTGATCATTCCACATCATTCGCTGGACCTCCATCCTTGAATTTATCTCTTTCCTGATACTTACTAATTCCATTTAAGTTTCTTTTTTTGTTTAACTATTTGTATTTCATAAACTACTATGTATCCATCTTTAATATACAGTACAACATTACGGTTACGGTACATTTCGCCGAAATCCATTTCACCGAAACCTGAAGGGAAGTTTCACCGAAAAGACGTTTCGCTGAAAGTGCATTTTATCGAATCCATCTCACCGATTCGTCCATTTCGCCAAATTCCATTTCACCGAATGGACGTTTCACTGAAAATGGTAGCGATTAATATTTTTATAAAAAATATTCATCACGCAATGAATAAAATTTAAATTATTTTTAAGGATTTTTCTTTTCAGCATATTGTCACTTTAACATTCAAGTAACTGATATTAATTGTTAAATAACTTATTTTTTCGCGAATAAATGTTTTCGGGAAAATAAAGTAAAGTAAAAAAAGATTAATATATTATAAACAACAAGATAATAAACTTAATAAAAATCAGCTAATTCAAAAATTTTTCTAGAAAAGATTTCTTTATGCATTTAGTATAAAAATGATAAAAATAAATGGTATGTTGAAGAAACTTCCTTTTGGCGAAATACCCTTTCGGTGAAATATCCCTTCGGAGAAATGGCTTCGGCAAAATTGGTTTTAGTGAAATAGACTTCAGCGAAAAGTCCGGATACCCAACATTACAATAATAGAATTTTTTTAAATAAATACTCTGATGTTTTTATAACAAAGGCCGTAATATAAAAATAGCATTATATATAAAGCGCATCTTATTAGGGCTTGTTCAATTCTGATCGTTCAGGTTTGTTGATATTAACCAATCCTATCATGTGATCAAAATCAAAAATTTAGTACTTTGATCGGCTTATTGATAGTTAGCCTTGGTCACCTTATTTTTCGTATAATAAAATATTTTCTTTTTTAAAATGGCAATAAGCAATACCATTAAACTTTTTAAGGGCGTGTATTAAAACTTTATTAGACGTTAAAAAAGAGCGATCAAAAATGATACCACATTTTTGTTGTTTGGAAATTTCGGGTTGTTGATCACACACAATTTATCAGCCGATAATTATCAATTCAAAACCCGATCAAAATTCCGACCGATCAATGGAGACTCTTAAAATCAAATGTTCTATATTTAATATATATTTCTCCAATGTCTACGTCTTACCAGAGTTTTCCTAGTTACAATTACTATTAATCAAAACTAAGAAAAAAATAAAATATGATATTTAAGAAAATTCTGGCAAATTTTATAATTTTAGTCCGAATTAAGCATTATAATTATGCATCTCATGTTAAGTTAATTCTGGTAATTTTTAACTTTAAAAGCACATATTTACAGACCCCGACGAAAGTAATGGCAGCCAGCTTTTTAATAATATGTGCGCAATTTTACAATAAAACACCAAAAAATTTTTTATTTTCCGAAAGATGGGCAAAATTACAGTAATTAATATTTGGTATGGCCTCCTTCTGCGTCTAATGAAGTGCTGATCCGATAAATCGGCACAATCACTATATATAAATTTGGGGTAAATTTATATGTAATTTTTATATGTTCTAAAATCTATAGACAAGTAGTAATAAATATTAAAATATATTATAGAATAAATTCATAACATCGGGAAATTTTTTTTGGGGATAAATATCGATAATTATCACTTTATCGATAATTATCACATTTTATCGTACTAAATAAATCGATAATTAACGTATTATGATGATCATCGATAAACAACTGGAAAAATATAACGATATTTAACATTAATGTTATTTATTGATAATTATCTGAAAGATATTTAATGGTATTAAGTGTTAAAAATTTTATCGATGAATTTCTATAAGATATTTAACATTAATGATATTTATTGACAATAATCTGAAAAATAAATAATGATATTATTAAGTGTTAAAAGATTTTATCAATAAATTTCTGTAAGTTATTTAATGTTAATGATATTTATTGATAATTATCTGAAAGATAAATAATGATATTAAATGCATGTTTAATTTTATCAATAAATTTCTGTAGTGATAATTTATCAATCCTGTATAGATTTGTGTTATGTAACATGATATTTTAATTAATTAAAAATAAGTTACGAGATTATTTAACAATCACGTGTATTATATCATGTGACATGACTTTCCGTTAGTTAAACTACTAAGACGCGACGATAAGTTTATTTTAAACTTTTTTTTTAGTTTAATTAACCATTTCCTTCGCCCATTCCATTTACACTCTTCTACCCTTCTTTTCCCCTTCCACTCTCACCCGTCTCTTTCGCACTTTCCCTTCACCCACTTCACCCTTTTTTACGCTTTCTTTTTTCTTTTTTTTTCTTTTTCACCTTTCGTTCATTTTTTTCCATTTTTTTCATTTTCCCCTTCATTTTATCTCGTTTATTTCGTTATTGTCATTTCTTTCTTTTATTTTGCATTTTTTTTTACGCATTTTTTGGTTATTTATTTCCTTTTTTATCCCTTTCCGTTCTTCCGTCTTTTTTAAATGATACCGTCTTTCTCTTTCCCTTTTTTCATTCTTTCCTTTTTCCTCTTTCCTCTATTTTTCCCTTTTCCCTTTTCCCTTTTTTTGTTTTCCTCTCTCTCCCTCTCTTTGTCCTTCCTCTCTTTCACACTTCCCTTTCACTTAAATTAAACGCTTTTCACAACATGAAAAAAATTATAAATTTATTTTTTAGGTCACGTTTTTGTTTTGGTAGATCTCTTGTGAAATGATTTTCGTCTATAGTACTAATCCTTTTTTTTTAGGTTTTGTCTCATTTTGACCTTCGGATGCCTGGGAACTTGTTTCTTTTTAGACGGCCAAAAAACACGTTAAAATTCGGTAGGAAAGGAAGGGGGAGGATGTATTCTTTCGTCTTTTTCATTGATGAAATGGTTTTCTGGATTTTTTTGGATTTAGCTCAGGATTTAGGTAAGAATTTTTTTTATCAATTTTTTTATTTTATTTTTAACGAACTTTACTAAAAGTTCATTTCTTTTTCTTTTTTTAGATCTTTCAGGTCAGACATTAGTGAATTTTTTTTTTTAAATATTTATTTTAACGAAACTTCTACTAACATTTCATTTTTTTTCTTTTGTAGATGGCCAGTTCTTCAGTGTTTGGACGCGTGGGAAACTCAGAAGGTTTCTCAGTTAAATTTTTTTTGTGCTGATTTTTTTTTATAAATCATCCATATGATTAAAAAATGTTTCTTTTTTTTTAGGTCCATAACGCTCATTTCGAAGGCTGGACTCCTGATTTTCTTTTTTTAGATGGCAGGATCTCTAAACGTGTGAAAAATTCGGTATGAATGAATTTCAATCAGGTTTTTTTTATTTTTTAATGAAACGTTTATTAACGTTTCCTTTTTTTTAGGCAGTTCTTCAGCCACTTCAAATTCTCAGGTTTAGTATATATGTTTTAAATGTTTAAACAATTATCCTCGAGTCTTTTTTGGACGTGTGAAATTTTGGTATGTATTTTTATTCATTGATTTATTTAATTTATCGAAATGGCTTCTAACGTTTCGTTGTCTTCCTTTTTTTAGACGACTTGCTCTTCAGGTTTAGACGCATTAGATCTAGGTAGAAATTGGTTCTTATATCAAAACATTAACTAATGTTCTGTTTTTTCTTTTATTTAGGTGGTTGTTCAGTTTTTTTTTTATTTTTATCGAAACTTTGATAACATTTCAATTTCTTTCTTTTATTTAGGGAGCTTTTTGGTCTCACTAATCGGCTCGTGGGTTTCAGTTTATTTACTCAAAAATCTTGCCTTCTTTATTTTATTGAAACGTTACTAGTTAACGTATCGATTTTTCTTTTTTTTTAGACGGTTATATTCTCAAGTCTCTTAGACATGCGAAATTTCGGTATGTATTTTTTTAGCATATTTAATTTATTTAACGAAATATTTGCTAACATTTCATTTTTTTTTCCTTTTTCAGGTGGCTCTTTGGTTCTTTTGGAAGTTGACTTAGTTTTTTTAAATTTAATCTAATTTTTTAACGAAATGTTTGTTAACGTTTCGATTTTTTTTTTGTAGGTTCTAGTTTCAACTTTAGGTATTAGACTGAGTTTCAACGTAACTTTGAAACTTAATTTTTTTATTTTTATATAATGAGAAATGTCAACTCACATTTCTTTCTTTATTTTCGTAGGTTATAGACTTTAGATTGAATGGGGAAAGTGAAGACGGTAAAGTTTCGCAATACCTGTTGCGGGACTTGATTTATTTTATTTTATTAGAAAGAAATGCTTTCTAACGCGTCTTTCATTTTCAGATATGGTAAATTCCATAATTTACAAGATTGCTAATATATTTTTTTTATTTGAAACGTTTTCTAACGTCTTTTTCGTAGGTTTTTGGATTTTGTTGGGATACTGGGTGATATGATCAGTTTCAAAGGTACTATTCGAAACTTTTTTTTTAATTTATCTCTTTTAGAAATCTTTAATTAATGTTTATTTTCATTTGTAGATTCTTAAATGGCTCTTTGGATGGAAAGTTTCGTTTTTTGTCTTTTATTATTAATGAAACATTACTTTTGGCTTTAGTCAATAGTTTGGATGGGAGTTTATTGTAGAATTTTTGAATTTTTAGTTTTCTTTTTTTCTTTTCAATATTTGCATATTATTTAGTAATAAAATGATGTATTTGCTTAAAAAACAATATATCGTATAATTATCAAATGAATATATTTTGATATTTATTGTTTAGGTTATAGTCCGATAATTATTTGTTTGGTTAAATATCGATGATTATCATTTAAGTTTAAATATGATAATTTATCACTCTTTATCCCTATCGATATCACTCGACGAGTCCGATTAATATCGATGTATGTCATGTGACCTTTTCATCGACATATATCCCCTAGAAAAATTTCCCGATGAAATATGAATACATATACCAATTAGGTATCTTTATTTTCTAAAAAAATTTTCGAAACTCTGCCAAAAGATACTTTCCTGTAAGCTCAAAAAAATCAATTCTTAAAAATTTACCCATCAGATTTGAACCCCTGAAATATTTGAGATTTCTCGCCATCTATCAGCTCTAGTGAGATAAAATTATTACCATTCAATTCGTTTCAGTAAAATGATTATAATGAGCTATATTACAATCATTAGATGCTGAGTTATAAATGGATGTTTTACTATCGGAGCAATAGGCGTAGTGTACAAGAAGGTATCAAAACATTTGAAGTGTAGTTTCATTGGAAAATACCACTTTTTTCCAACTATAATTCACATGATCATGGGCGCAAGATAATCGGTTCTCTTTTGCTTTTTGTGTCGAAAGAGAAACCTTTCTGGGACGAACGGATACAAGACCAAGATTTTATAGCTCACGACAAATGATCCGTTCACTAACTCAAGTTCTGGATTTTTTTCTTTAAGCCGAGCCTTCATTTATTTCACTTGCTGTAGTGAAATGATTTGCGCTTGACGATCATTCCAATTTGGCGGCGTTTTTTAGAAGTCAAAGACCACTAACTATAGTAATCTTTACCAGTTTTTTTAATGAACTGACATAACGTTCACAGGAGCGTAAGGGAATAACTGTTCTTTGTGAAATTTCTCTTGCATTTCGGATTTTTTGCTGCCAAAGGAGTTAACGTCATTTCAGTTTTTTTTGAGCGTAGTGCCGTTGTTAACGCCATTTTAAACGGGAAAACATGAAGAAATTTATTTTTTTCTATAATTTTTTTTGTTCGCTCCTATCACATAATAAAAAAGAAAATATTCATCATGATAAATCAAAATCTCTACAAAATTTTTTATTATAATAAATAAATTTAATTGTTAATAAAAAAGACGTTACATTCCTTTTTTTTCGATTAGGAATTAAATTAGATGTGCTTGAATAAAAATTGTTTTGATGTTTTTTTTTCTTACGCTAAAGAATAAGAAAATAGAATTTTTTTCGTGTTTTGCCACAAATGTTTTTTAATTACGTTAAAAGTCTTTGAGAATAATTACTGTATAGTATCTTTAGACTTTTTTAATAGAAATATTATTAACCAGTTTTATTTTAATCTATAAATTAGGAAATATTAGAAATACAAATATCGATTAAATGTGTGTATAATTTTTTTCAAATGGGTCTACGATAATTCGTCATGTGAGGATTTACAACAATAAAAACCTTTTCGGACTTAATGGAATGATCAGCAATTATTTTATTATTTCCACCGATCAACAAAGGATATAACCTAAACACTTGAGACATGAAATGTAAGGTGATTATTTCATAGTCTAAATTAATTGCTCTATAATCATTTCCTTAACAAGTATTGATGATCCAACGCCCCAGCCTTTATAATAAAGGCTTTATTACATGCATGTGCATATACTATTAATTAAATTAAGTTTAAATTCTTTGAAAAAGAAAATTATTAGAAAAAATGCCAAATTATTTTGTGCTCAACCTATAGATAATTTTGAATAATAATGGAAAAAAAGAAACGGAACTGTCGATCATCATGATGTTTATTTATTACACAGATACGCCACTCCCAAATTATTTAACAATTTTTCTTTCTTAAAAAAATAAATAAAAAAAAAAAAAAAAAAATGTTCGTTAAAGACGTACTTTTCCTAATATTAGAAGAATTAAAAGATGATAGAAAATCTCTCCACTCATGCCTTTTTGTTAATAAAACTTGGTGTGAAATAATAGTACCAATATTATGGAAAATTCCTGGAAAGTATACTCTAACTAATAACGCAAAGAATGCTTTATTTAATGTAATACTTTTACATTTATCAGAAGAATCAAGAAATATTTTGAAGAATAATGGAATTAATCCTTTTATAGAAGAATATCGACGACTATTATTTAATTATATCAGTTTCTGGAGATATTTAAATTTATTTCTTTTAGAAAGTATGATCGTTTCTATAAAAAATATTGAAAAGTACAACATTTCTATTATAAGAAAAGAAGTATTAAAATTATTTATTAATAAAAATACAAAGTATATTTATCTTGATATTCCGGAACAATTTAGTTATCAATTACATCAAATTCCAGGTGCTGAATATTGTTTTTCAAAACTTGAATGTCTTCATTGTGATGATAATACCGATCAAAATATTTTTAAAGGATTGGCTAGAATAAGCAAGTCAATTAAAAAATTAAAGTTTTATATTATGCAATGTAACAATAATGATAATTCCGGAATTATTAAATTAATTGAAGCTCAAAAAAAGTTGGTTGATGTTCATTTAGTTTATTTTTATACTAATATGAGAAATGAACCATATTGTAAAACTCTTGAAGAATCATTAATTAAAAATTCGGATACAATCCAATATTTAAGAATTGGTTGGAAACCAACTACGAAAATTCTTACAAGTCTCGTAAATTTGATAAGTTTAGATATAAATTTGAATTTATTAGGCAATACCAATTGGAATCATTTGGGAAAAGCATCTTTACCACTCTTAAAATACTTAAGAGCTCAACAAGTTCCATCTAAAATTTTGACGAGATTAATTGAAAATACAAAAGGATATCTTATCGAAATAAGTATACTTTACGAAGGTACTGATAATAGAGAACTAATTCGAGCAATTTATCATAATTGTCAAAATCTTAAATATCTTAAATTATCATTTAATAATGATAATATTTCAGAATTAGAAAATTTATTAATTAAATGTCAATATTTGAATGGATTGGTTATTTTTACTGATGAAATAAATGAACCTGATTGGGATGATTTATTTGAAATATTAACTAAATCATCACCAATTAGTTTGTATAAGTTCAAACTTTCATTTATTTGGTCATTTAAATTATTGGAATCTTTAAAGTTATTTTTTAAAGGTTGGGAAAGTAGACATCCTATGCTATTACACACTATTCCTATTGATAAATATTACACAAACATAAAGCAACCACTGCAACAATTGCAACAACAAATGGAGAATTTAATCAGAAAATACGAAGCAAGAGGGATCATTAAAAAATATGATACCGATTTGTATGAATCTATATTTGAGGAATTCGAATGGATTCAAAAGAAGTTGCTTTTTGTCTAAGTGATCATTAGTATATGTAATATTTTATTTATTTTTTTTTTCATTCTTTAATAATTCATGTATAGTTAAACCGTTAATGATTTTAATTTTTAATAAATGAATATAACATACATATTTATTAATCGAGTACGTCGGTTCATAATTTGTAAGGATTTAGGATTATTAACGTCGGGTTTGTATTAACAGGATTCTGATCGTTGAGATTTCGTAGCAAATCCATTTAAATTTGAAGGTTTATTATACAAACCATATATAAAGTCCATATAATTAAAAAATGACTCTATGTGCCCCCTCTAATAATCTAAAACTAATCTTTGAAAGGATTGCTGTAATAAGTTATTTTTATTAGTACGAAAGCCACGCTTCGAAGAACGCGAGCTAAATAAAATGTATTGGTGAATGACAAGATAATTCGTTACTTTGACTCTCAAGAATATAATAAATTTTCTACTGGAAGATTATTTGCGGTTCATGCCGCAATTGCCGCATATTCGTGATTAAGAAATTTAATAAAGTTATAAGAGAAATCAATTGATTCAACTCTGTTATTATTAATAATATCTTTATTATAGTTTCGGGTGAAACTATTTTTTCAAAATCTGAAATATTTCGCCGAAAGTATCTGAAACTTCTGAACCCAAATTAAACCAAAATTATAAAAATCTAACTTTATAAACTATAAATCGGTAATTCTACAATTTGCTGTATATTTGATTGATGACTCAACTGGGTATTATATTAAAAAATTACTCATCTATATACTCTGTGCAAAGGTCACACGTATGTTCGTCCGGTGTACAATATATGAGGTTAAATACAATTACTCACATCGGTCATATGAATAAAATGTTACTCACGCGAAAAAAAATCAAAAAAATTGCTTTCTTATGGTGAGTTTCGTCATGAGTAAATGATTACATAATTTAAATAATATAAATATATCTCAATATCTTTATTCTTTTCTTTAGGTTTTCTTTATTTTCTTTTTTTTTTAGGTCTATCTTCTAGGTCTTCTCTTTATCACCTTTTAGGCCCTTTTTCTTTACGTCTTCCCTCAGGTACTTGTATGTGGGTTGGGAGTGTGGGTTTGTGTGTAGGTGGTGTGTGTATATTTGTGTATTTCCTCGCTCTTTCCCTTCTGTCGCTTTCTCTTTCCCTTTCTGGATCTTGCAATGATTAAAAAACAAATCCAATTTTTGTTACATTCGGTTATTTGACATTTGGATTATTGCAAGACGAAATTGCCAAATGATTATGGACGATATTTTGATCAAAAAACTCCCAGCCTCCGAGATTAAAAAATGATCAGGTTATTCCAAACACTGTAAAAGTATTCAATCATTTTGTACTTGGATTGTTTAAATCAAATTAAATAAAATGGTCACTAAAACAAAACATAATAAAATTTCTAATATTTATCTTAATTTATATGATTTGATCATTAATTTTGATTGTTATAATTTTTATGCCATGGATATTTGCAATTTGGATTGGCCTCGTGTAATCAAGTCAAAATTTTTTTATCCTGTACTTTGACTTGAATTCTGGTTTAAGTGATCGTTCTCACTCTATTAACTCATGTCTCTTCATATAATTAAAAACAAAGCTTACAATTACTATGGCCATATAAATTTTACTTGTACATAAATGTTTCAGCTATATATATTCAATATAAAAAAAATATTATACCAAATCAAAAAATTGTTTACATACAATTGAAAATAGGATATGTCTATTACCTATACTGTGGCGCAGTAGTCACGTGAAAATCTAGGTGATCGCAACTTGGAAAACGGTAACCGTTAAAGTCTGTCGCGTTTATTTACTCACGAAAAATAGCAAATTCAGTGTTACAAAAAAAAAGGAATATGATTGAAAGGGTTTTAGAAAATAATTGTTTAAATTTGAATGTTAAAAATTTCTTCAACGTGCTAATCCTAAGAATGTTATTATGGAAAACTTTGTCCGGAGCGAAGCGAAGGACAATATATGTCTACGCACTATGAAAAAAAAAAAAAAATCGATTACGTGAATTTCTCTGTCCGCCACGTGATCGTCGCCCAATGAAATTGACAAATTTTAGTTTTTCGCTCCGGGTTCCCGTTTCCTAGTTTAGTTATGTTTATATGAAATCAATTAATAAATTAATAAAGTGAACAAACCGATTTATAACTTATAACTTATGTAATATTTGTTGCTGACCTAGCAAAGTCTTTTAAATAAAACTTGTTGTCACCTGATCACCACGTTGAGGTGCAGCAAGGGGTGAAGGGAAACGAAAGGGAAAGGGGAAAACGAGTAAGAAATAACAAATAATACTATCAATTATAATATTTTCTATTCTTAGTAAATGTATATTTATCCCCACACACATGATACCTTATAGAATCCTTACTATAAAACGCCGCACCACAATACCTTAGGTTATTACAAAAATAACTCTTCCCATTTGAGACTCCAAAACTAGCCCTCCATTCTATATCCTCTATGATCTGCCCATATGTAGGTGGTGGTGCATCTGGTACACCCTCACCGTCATTATTAGCATTACCTATAATTAACAAATATTCATAAGTGTCTGCAGCCACCAGTATACATACGTCATCATTGAGAGTTCACCAAACCTATACAACTGGAGTGGCAAACTATCAACCTGACCATAACAGTTTACTATCCGGAAGACTTTCGGCTGTAACCTTGGATGCACCAAGCATGTCTCATGCGAGGCGTGAACCCTGCAGTGCGCACCTACTCATACGTCCGTCCGGCAAACTAGTTAATTTATACGTACCGCATAATGCCCGATAAGCTAGACCTCTATTATAAATAGCTATCAGATTATTTTTGGAATGTCATTTAGACGATTTCTTATGTCGTGGCATTTGGGTGAAGTTGGATTTTGTATAATAAAAATTTATTTCGTAAAATTTTTCGTATCATAAAAATTTATTTCATAAAATTTTTTCGTATTAAAAAAAAATTATTTGGATATTTAAGGCCTTTTTATATATTTTTTGTTGTACAAACTTTTTATAAATAAATACACGAAAACGCGAAAAATAATCAGTTTTTCGCGTCTATTAAATAAAATTAACTCAGATAGTCTAGTCTCACGGGTTTACACATGAAAACGCCAAAAAAATCTTTAATACACATGAAAACGTGACTCATTATCTGTTATGATTATATTGATAAATATTATGTAATTCATAGTAAACATAAAGTATACAAACTATTTGAATTATCATGTGTGTTGAGTACAGCAAACTTCCGATATAATGATATGTCAGGTCCCATATGAAGATCAAATTATTAATAATTTAATATCAATTGCGCCAAACAAGACCATATAATATTATAGAAGAGTATATAAAAAGTAAGGATTAATCGAAATATAGTTGATCATGATTAACTCGAGTCAAATATATATCATCAGAGAAAATTTTCATCCTTTTCCATTCGTGCTTCTCCCCATATAGTACTTAACTCACTCATAATATAAGTCTCTTATGATTACACTGAATTACCGCCGTTTTCAAAATGATAACATTGATGGAACTTTTGGTATCGATATTGACAAAATTAAGTCAGTAAAAGAACTGAAAAAAATCATCAAGCTTTATTTAGATGAGAACAACCTTTTACTTCAAAAAGCACTTCTCTTGATAAATACAAATATTATCAAATATGGAATTATCAAAGGATCGTATTCATATTTCCCTGTATATATCTGGTAAGAATTGGATGATATTTTTATATCGCTATTTATTTACTTATGCTTAATATATATATTTTATTTTATAAAGTTGAGGGAGAAATTGCACATAAATTAAGCGAAATTGAATCGGGAGATAAAATTATTCAGGTTTTGTATTCAACATTCTCTTAGATATTCATAATATTTTTTATATTTTCTTATATTTTTTAACTTATCATTATTATTTTTGGTTGCGTACAAAACAGGGTGTTTGATTATAGGAGACAAATAGGAGATAAAGCATAAAGGCAAGGAAATATGATGCAGTGTTTAAAACCATCAACAATAAATTACATTTAGTTTATGTTGATCATGCGTGTATATCCTTTGCTGAGTTTATTCGAAAAGTGACAGATTATACAAAACCGGTACCTAAAGATGGTGCCGCAAATAGGCAATTGCGGAATAATTGCGATTTGCGACATTGCGGAACATTGCGGATTTTGAAGTCTACATATCCGCAATTCCGCAATCAGTAATTATCCGCAATTCCGCAATTTTTCCGCAATTCCGCAAATAATCCGCAATTCCGTAATTAATTGNGTGTATATCCTTTGCTGAGTTTATTCGAAAAGTGACAGATTATACAAAACCGGTACCAGATATTCGAAATTGAAAATTAATTATGTATCTTGGAAAGATTTTTGTGAAAAGGTAATATTTATAGAATCTGTAATGTCCATCAAGAATGCCCTACAATCTATTCTAAATGATCTGAACGTGCGAGATATTTTCTTTGGTATCGAATCTCCACGTCAAAAAACGGTGAGTAACACTCCGGCAATGAAATTACAAGTGATCGGAGATTCAGATCATTTATATTGTATGGAGAACATTTACAGAAATAATTCCAAGAAATCTCTCTCCACGGAGTATATAGTTACACCAGCTATTATTTTTCATGTAATCCGTAAGGGTGTGATTCCATGGATTTAGAGATGCATTGTTTTGTCAAGAGTATATGGAAAGAATTGAAAAATATATACCAAATATCGAGTGAAATGATCGTCGGGTAAAATAAAGATTATCGGTGAGACGATTTCGGCAAAATAAATGCGTCCCATATGAATGAAAAAACTGTCCAACTAAGAAGTTTCAAATTGATGAAAAGTTTAAGTGTTATTAAATATTTTTATTATTATTGGTTTATTATAACGTTTAAAATTTATAATTTTAACCATATTTTTAACGCTTAATAAATGAGTTTTTTTAAGTATATGGTATTCAGAAAATATAGAAAATATATAAAAGATTTTTACTTTCAAAACTATTTGTGTATTTGTGAGTATAACAGAATTTTTGAATAAAATAAAAAATAACCAGAAAATCAAAAGCTGAAATGGCTCTACAGTCTACATTAACATGTTTTTATAATGGAAATAGTGACTATTTTTAATTCCGATCACATAAGATGGTGATGACACAGGTATATTTTTATTTCTGAGTGGTGACGACACGGGTAAAAATCTAACCAAATAATTAGCTATCACGTGATATTTTGCCAATCTTTTTGAGAACGTATTAAAGGTTTCTATCATTAAAAGAAGTTTATTCTATGATCTTGTATTAATTACACATTTTTTCTTGTATTTTGTCACGATCGTCATCAATTTCAACCATTTTGAAAACGATGGACGCCGGACAGGTATGGAGTGCACTCAGTGCCGTAATTATTTAACTCATAAAAGGAATTTTTTGCGAAAGTTTAAATGCGACTTGAGTAAATATTAAATCATAAACAAAGTCAATAAGTAAATATTTCTTTTTTATCCTAATGATGTCATATATCCAATATGGCTATATTAATTGCATACCAAGTTGCAGATTAGGCAACTATAATTTTCTATTTTATAAATTTTCCTAATTAGAGCTTCAATCATGTCAAACTATGGAAAATCGTCTCCTTTTTTTTCTTTATAACCACAGATCCATAATCGAAACCGTAGATTTTCATTCAGATTTTCAGTTTAATCTGAAACATGGGTTATTGAATTAGTGTGATCAGGTGATTTTTTATTCAATTACAGTATAACGAAAAAACCGAAAATAACCAAAAATAACCAAAACCCCATACAAATTATATTCAAAAAGTTATTCCAAATAATTAATGGTCAATTATTTTGTGTTCTGGTCACTTTTTAATACAGTAACCACTAATGTAATAATAAGAATTACATGAAAATAAGTTGGAAATCGATTATAGCCATAGTTTATTCGTAATTTGCAAACCAATGTTTAATTATGAGAATAATGAGATAGTATTTGGTCGCGGGTGCATAAAAAGCGTGCTTAAATATTTCAAAAACTACAATTGAAAAAAAAAGTGAAGAAATCTTGAGGAAATGAAAAAAAAATTAGTAACTTCTCATAAACATACATTGTTATTAGTTCTCTTCAACGTCTTTACATTTATTAAAAAAACAACTGAACATTTTCAATATTATAGTATATTAGAAAATTATTATCTATTAGGCTTAATTATAAATAAGGGTAGGGAAAATTCTAGAAACAAACGTAATTTAAGTGATCATGTGGACATATAAACTCGCCACTGTATCACGTTCAAAATATTTTTTTGCTGTTCGTTTCGTATTTTCGCTAGCAGTATATAACTTGGTGGTTTCGATTCCTACGATTTCTATAATCGATTTCTACCTCTCGTTCTCCCTTCCCTTTCCCTTCCCTTTCGTTCTCCCCTTCCCTTTCGTATTCCCCTTTCCCTTTCGTTCTCCCTTTCCCTTTCGTATTCCCCTTTCCCTTTCGTTCTCCCTCCTAGCCTCCCTTCCCCTTTCGTTCTTCCATTTCCCTTTCGTTCTCCCCTTCCCTTTCTCATTCCTTTTCCTTTCGTTTCCCTTTCCCCCTGATCAATGTTGCTGCACCTCAACGTGGTGATCAGGTGGCAACAAGTTTTTAAAAAGACTTGGCTAAGTCAGCAACAAATACTTAAACTAAAAAAAAATATAATACAACTATTAAGAAAATTCAAGTGTCCCTCAATCGTTCTTTTTTTTTATAATAGAAAAGGATCTCAAGTGGGTCTCGCATAATTTGCTGATGTTACTATGATAAGTACACTTCGATATTTTTTTTTTGTCGATAGAAATGAAATGTTGAAAATATTGAAGAATGCCGGTTATCATCTTTCTAAAAGGTCATCATTTTTGGAATCTACTGCTAGTAGTCGACATCAACAAACGAAAATTCTTTTCGTTAAAAGAAATTCAAAATATATTAATAATCATTATTACTAAAAGCGACTGATTATAATTATATTTTATTTTCAGCAATCTATATTTATAATAGTAAAATATTTATTCGCGTTAAATAGTCATTAAAATAGTTTATAGGGTTTATAGGCTATTGACTTAATGTTATAATTTAAGTGAAATTGCATTGACTTTACTTTTTCATAATGATAAAAAGTGAGATATTTTAACAAAAAATCTGTACGATGGTTTCATTCCGAAAAGTTGAATAGCTTGATGAAAATTGTTTTTTAGCCGGAACCCTATTTTTTATTCTATAAAATTATAATGTTATGTATTGCGCTTTTTCTCTAGTCAATAAAATTAATTCCACACTTTAAAAAAAATTTATTCTATTTGCTTATGGTATTTCTTAAATTTGTAGTAGTGTCTTCATTTTTCTCTAAGTTAATTTAATGATAATAGCTAGCATAATTCGATTTTATGTAATTATGAAATTAAGAGGTATAGTACTAAATGATAAACGCATGTGATATTAATTCTAGACGAACGAATCGAATAGAATAAAATTACTCGTTCGTTATTGAATACATAGACGGCGGGACATTAGAAAAACATTTAAGAACCAATGTTAGAACTTTAATCAAATGGGAAATTCAATTAAAAGTACGGAAAGAATAAGAAAAAAAATAAAATAAAAACGGTATACTATAATAAAAGAATTGCTACAATAAGAAGTTTTACATTGTTAATAATTATGAAGATATTATTAAATAAAGGAATGTTATGAGAAAAATAGTGAATAAGAGACATATAAAATTTGAACCATCCATAGATTATCTGAATTTTCAATTTTCGTTATTATAATAATAAAGTATTTAAAAAATTATTTCGGGAAAATTATTTAACAATTAATTCGTAATATACCTTATTTCATAATAGTTGAACCAATTAGATAGGAAAAAAAAAAAATAAAACTAGCCAGTACAGTTTATGACTCACGATTGCATCTTTTATATATTATTTGCATCATGATCAGACATTCATCATACGATATTTTTTTTATAATCACCCATGGCATGACTAATATTGAGTTGATTGTTAAATAAAAAATTAATAAAAATCTTTGCGTAAATAATTATACACAAACTACGCCATAATCATAAATTTATAAATAAATAAGGACGAATTTCTCGTCCCCCCATTTTAAAAAAAAATGATGTTGCAACTCAACGTAGATATACTTTTCCTAATATTTGAAGAATTAAAAAATGACATGAAATCCTTCTATTCATATCTTTTAGTTAACAAAACTTGGTGTATAATGACGGTACCAATATTATGGAGAGATCCTAATATAATTTCTTTATCTGACGAAGCAAAAAGTAAACTATTTGATGTAATATTTTTACATTTATCAAAAAAATCAAGAGATATCTTGAAGAACTGTGGGATTAACAACCTTTTCACATAGACATATCAACATCCTTTATTCAACTATATTAGTTTCTGGAAACATTTAGATCTACGTTTTATAGAAGGTCTAATGTTTCAAGGAAATATAAAAGAGTCTAACATTTTTATTATAAAAAATGAGATAATGAAATTGTTTATTAATGAAAATACAAGAATTATTCATCTTTATATATCACGAAATTTTAATTACAAAGTACATAGTATTCCAGGAGCTGAACATTGCCTTTCAGGACTTGAATCCTTTAGTTGTCGTAGCTGTGTTGATCAAAGTATATTAGAAGGATTATCCAGTATATGTAAATCAATTAAAAGACTCAAATTTTTTGTTGATTCTTCTAACGTTAATATTAATTTTGGGATAATTAAATTAATTGAAGCCCAGAAAAATTTAAATGAAGTCTATTTATTCAATTATTCGGTAACTAAATCATTTGAAGGATTAATTGAAAAATCCTTAATTAAACATGCAGATACTATCCAATATTTGAATATTAGATCGGCGCCTGTTACGAAATTTCTTTCATACCTTGTAAATTTATCAAGTTTAGAAATTGAATTCATGGATCCATGGAATAATCTAAATAATTTTGAGAATTTTTCGGTACCTAATTTAAAAATTCTAAGAACAAAACATGTTCCATTTAATATTTTAGTAAGTTTAATTGAAAATACAAAAGGTCATCTTACCGAAATTAATACATTTTATAATTTTAATTATGAAATTGTTAATACTGAATCAATTATTCAAGCAATTTATAAAAATTGCCTAAATTTAAAATATCTTTTATTCTCATCAAATAATTCTAATTCAATAATTCCAGAATTTGAAACTTTATTAATTAAATGTCAATTTTTAAATGAATTAATTCTTCTTATACACGATCATAATGATTATGCATTTAGTTGGGATAAATTATTTATAATATTGGCTAAATCGTCACCAATCAGTTTATTAAGGTTCAAATTTTATTCCATTAGTATGTTTAATTTGAAAAACATAGCATTATTTTTTTATAATTGGAAAAATAGGAACCCTATGACATTAGGAATATGTAACAATAACTCTTATTTTAATAAGAGGAGTAAAAACAAACCTTTGGAAGATTTATGTGAAAAATATAAATTAAAAGGAATAATTAAAAAATACATCATTGAATATTCTAAATTAGTAGATTATAAAGATTTTACGGCATTTAATTAAATCATAGAAAGTCGAAAGCGTTCTATATAAACAAGTCTTTATATATTAATTGATATTTATATTTGTTAATAAAAAGAAATTATTTTTTGCGGCAAATTTGGTTGTAACTTGTAAGACATAGTAATGTCCTTTATTTCGAATAAAAATGATTCATTAATAAATTCTCTTAATATTTATCAAGAAAAATTTTTATAGATACTAACGCGTCATGATAATATAATACATTTTTAAATAATTTTATGATTGTTGAATGTAGTTTAATTTCTCTACTAATATCTTATCCATTGCCAATTACAATTATTAATTTAAATTAATAGAGATCTTGAAATAATTAATAATTGCAAAATATATACAATTTATATTTTGTAAGTTTGTATAATAAAAAGAATACAAAAAGGAAAAAAGAAATTTAATAATTTAATACATGACAAAAAAACATTTGTTTTTTTAAACCTAATCTTAACAAAAAATAAAATGGAATGCAGTGAAATAAAACGAAATGAAATAAATGAAATAAAATAAATGAATTAAATAAGTCATTACTTGAGAGTCATGCACTAGAAAATAAAAGAACGATGCCAAAACGTGGCAAGGGTTATTAATAATACAATATGTTGGGAAATAAATTAAACTTGAAATAAAAAACTTTTGAATTCTTTTATATTAAAAATTACAATTATAATTGAAATTATTTAAATTATTTGTATAACTGATAAATTCTATTGCCTTTTTATTATATAATTTTTATCAAAATAAAGAAAAAATTGCGATTTTACCAACGTCAATTATGTAACTTGCAAATCAATCCGGATACTATTTTTTCTGGGAGACGCTAGGGTTGTTAAATCGTAATTTAAATCATGTACTAAGATTATGAATGGGAAATGATTTTTCCAAGGGGTTAGGATAATGAAATTTTATGCAAATCTGCGGCAATCTCCAACAAGAAAAAAAAATTAGAAAGTAGAAACATATATCAATATATTTTCCTTTTTTTGGTAATGAGGCGACTGAGGCGTCAAATACTACGCCTAAAGGTTACAAATTTATGTGTGCACAACATGAAGTTTGATCAACAATTTGCATTTTATTAATTTATTACGGTTTGAATGAACGAACTTAAAATAATTCTTTCTTTTCCCTTAATTTATTATGTCCACTCTTCGATATGAATTAGTTAATGCAACATATCATAGGGCAATTTTTTTGACTGATACTAGTATTTACAATGATATACACAAACAATTTGAATTTCAAAAACAAACAGTCCTTGCTGATAAAATTCTTACAAATGATGAAAAAATTTATGGAATAAGAAAATTAACTAAAACTTATGATCGAAATAAAGTTATTTTAAATTCAGGAACAAGAAGAATTTGTGAAAATTGTAACCAAGAATGTTTAGCCACATTATATTGTGAATATTGTGTCCGAAATTATTTAAAAGAAAATTTTTCAAACTGGACATCTGGGAATGATGATATTGACAATTTAATACAGAAATGTCAAATGGAATCACTTAATCCACAAAGGATAGTTGAATGGATTCCATATAACAATTTGAAAAATATTAATTATTTAACAAAAGGTGGATTCTCTGAAATCTATACAGCGGGTTGGATTAACGGATATTATGAAGAATGGGATTCTGAAAAAAAAACAATTAAAAGAGTTAAAAGACTTGGAATACAAAACTTTGTAGGATATGTAGCACTTAAAAAATTAGAAAATGTTGAAAGTGCAAATCAAAGTTGGTTTGAAGAGGTTTGTATAATTTTATTTGAAATTTATTTATAAAATCCTGTTTTTTTGTATTAACAATAGCATTGTTGTCATTTAGGCTAAATCACATTTAACTATAAGTAATAAATGGTCAGGTGTTGCTCGATGTTTTGGTTTAACACAAAATCCATCAAATGGATATTATATGCTTGTAATGTGTAAAATGAATATAGATTTAAGAAAATATTTACAACAAAATCATAATCAACTTACATGGAAAGATAGAATGAAAATTATTAATGAAATAACTCTTGCGCTTTATTATATTCATAAAGAGAAAGCAATTCATAGAGATTTGCATTCTGGAAATATATTGTATTCACAATTTAATGATAAGTGGTATATTAGTGATCTTGGATTTTGTGGACCTGCTGATAAATCTTCAACAAGTATATATGGAAATCTTCCTTACATAGCACCCGAAGTTATTGTTGGAAGAGAATATACTTTTGCATCTGATATTTATAGTATTGCAATTCTTATGTGGGAAATTTCATCTGGACAAACACCATTTATAAATTATGAACATGAAAATGATATTGTAATGAATATTATTAACGGTATAAGGGCAAAAATAGTGCCAGGAACTCCATTAGAATATAAAAATTTAATGAAAGAATGTTGGGATGCTGATCCATTAAAAAGACCTGACGCTGATGCACTTGAATCCAAAATAAACCGAATTAATTTATATTATCAAAATATGTCAGATGAAGTATTCAAATCAGAAATGGATAATTTAGAAATGAATAAAGTAGAAGAAAATTATACAAGTAGCAGGTTATTTACAAGTAAAATTCACAACTTTGGAAATCTACCTGAACCAAGAAATGCAACAGAAGGTATAAGCGTATAATATTTATTAATGAATGTATTTATTTTAAAATACATTATTATTAATGTTATCTCTTATTATAATAGAAGAACAAGAAGGTATAACCATATAAATAATAATTTCTACTATTTTATTTGGTTACTAAAATAATTCACTTTATTTTGCTACTAATAGCGTTTCATAGTAAATTGTATGATTTTAACATTCCTAACAATAGTAAGTATTTATTAATATTACGGCATTAAATTACCATATAATAATGTTTAATTTAATAATTGTCATTTATTTCAGTTAACGATTTTAATAAATCAAATAAGCAGAATAGTAGTAACAAATCATCAAAAATAGTTACCATTTTTAGAGGTAATGAATCTTAATTATTGCCAAATCAAGATTGAATTTTATAATTTTTATATTAAATCAATATCATAAATTTTAGATAGTAATAAAATCTTATCTAAATTATTTAAAAAGTTGCAAATAAATTCAAATGGTAAGAATAGTAATAAATTACTAACAAATTAAACTCATTATTATATCAATTTCATTTATTTATTAAACGCGACTTTTATTTAAATTTAGATGATGAAAAAGAAATAACTCAACAACGAATAAAAGGGAAAAATATTAATGTTGATGGTAGGTGAAAATTTTACGTAATAACAAATAATCCTTATACTATTTTAAGTATGTTTATTTTCTTATAGATGATGACGAAATATATAATAATCCAAATTTTCATTCAAAAGAACAAGATGAACTGGAAATTCCCGATGGTAAGTTCTTAAATAAATAAGGTTTCTTTTTAAAGCAACTTAATTAATTTAATTTTTTATCTTTAGATGGATTTTAAATTGACTTTATAAATCAAAACCAAAACCAATATTATATTATATTCCAAATTGTTATCATTTATTTATACTTTATTTTAAGTTATTTAAACACTAAGATTAGAGTAGTTAAAATGTTTTACAAGATTCTTAGTTTGTAATTTAAATAATTATATAACAAAGTTATTAAATTATTAAATGTATAAATTATCAATAAAAAATTTATGTGAAATATTGTTGATTCCTTTTAGTAATATAATAAAAATTTTTAACCGTTACAATAATTATTCGAATTTAGGCGAAAATAATAATATTATGAAAATAAATTTTACATTATTGAATAATATTTAATCTTTTGTTCAATCTCCGTCAGATGAATTTTGTCGTTATTTATTCTTATCTAACTTTATATCTTATATATAAAAAAAATGACAGATCGAGCATAAGGTCCAGATAATAATATCTAAAACAGCAACATTTCAATTTTCCATATGATGAACTTATTTCAACTATTAATAAGATTTTTAGAATTTTAATCTAATGTGTTTGGAAAATATACTATATTTTATTGTTTAAAACATTATAATAATTATTTATAGAAAATTTTAATCAAAATTAATCATTTATCTTTTTGGCTTAAATGGTATGGTTTGAATGTAAATTTCTGGCTGAATCAGGGATTTTGTAAAGTAAACAAGTTAGTATTCTAAGCTTGATAAAGATTAAGTAGAAAAGGTCATATCTAAGTAAAGTGATTAATTAATTTTATAAAGTTTAATACATTTCAATCAATTTATATAAATATGGCGAATACGATAATAAAACAAATAATAAACAATAAAAAGAAAAAAATAATATCCAATATTGCAAAATTGGTTTTAATTTAGAATTTGAAATACTTCATATTCTTCCACATAAAAATCATCATCATTTTCTCTGATTTTCTTTTCGTAATCATAATTATAACAATTACCAAAGTCTCCAGATAAAACAAGATCGTCACCAAATCTTGGACCACTAGCATTATAGTTAAATATAGCACAATTTTCATCTCTCACGCGACTTAAAATATAACTTTCAATATCATCACTGCTCATAAAAGAAAATATAAAACTATCGTTAGTAGTGCCAAAATTACCATCGTTATTAGATTCCCATTCAATTGGATTATACCCCCCAAGAATTTCAGTACTATCTTTCACTTTAACAATTGTTATAGTATTAGACTGATTGTCACAGATTTCATGAAATTTTTCAACCGTAAATCCATCACGAGATCCACGCAGTAACAAATTGAATTTGTACGCAGTTTTTATCTCATCCGTAATTTTTATTCTATCGATCCATTTCGAGATTAATTCAGCATGTTGAGTTGTAATGATTTTGGAATCAATATTATTTTTCTTAGTAGTCATACGAGATTTTGATTGTTTAATTGATTGGTTGTTAGAATCCAAAAAATATTTTAATAAATCTTTATATAATTCTTTTGGTAAAACTTTTTTATAAGGTAATATTTCTTTTGAAAATTCATCAGAAGTTAAATTATAGAATCTAATAAATGGAATACACTTATGTAAACTATTTTTCAAAGTATTAAAATCTTCTTTTGAAAAATTTGCAGGATCTGAAGAAAGTTCTGGATTTTGAGCAAGTCCCCATTTAAGCACATGTTTCCATATTTGAATTTCTTCCATTTGAAAATTATCACTTTGAATAATTGTGATCAAAAGTTTTTCTGGAATTAAAGCAAAATTTAGAGATTTGAATATCTTATCTGGCTCTTCGGAGGTTAAATTAGTACAAAAATTTTGAAGTTCCAAGAAAGAATCGTTCTCAAAGCATGTTTGATATATCAAATTAAAATTTTGTTCCATCCAATTTGCCTTAGTTTTAATAAAGAAGGATTGTATATAAGTGATAAATTCTTGAAGACCAAGTTCACTTCCGGCAATCAAGATTTTAATTATATCCGAAGTATCATACTCCTCCAAGGAAATTCTTCCACTATAAATATATCTAAAAATAAAAAAGCGTAAACTTAAGTATGTTGTTATACAGTATATTCATTTTTGTAATTTTAATTTAATTCTTTTTTCTTCTTAATTATACCTTAAGATTATTTGAAAAATTTCAGGTAAAATATTTGGTAATTTTATATGAACCAAAGCCCCATCATTATTCTTTTTATTTGTTGATAACATTCTTCGTAGATACGTGGAACGATAATGTAAGATAACCATATGAGCACGAAATATCTTTATATAAGGATCATTACCAACTTCAATAGTAACATCATAATATTCTTCATCATTTAAAATTTCAAGTAAATTCTGAAATAATTTTGGTAAAAGATTATTATCATCCATAATTTATAAATTTTAAAAAAGAAATAAAAAGAAATAAAAGAAAATGATCGACAATTTTGTCGGTTAAACCCTATATATACTTTAAATTGCCGCTGCAGTTTGTTGATCCGAGACTCCTATCATGACATGGTTATATTGTAACATTTTATCGGGACAAAAATTTTTAGTATAGGTTTTCTTCAAACTAGCTAAAATAATGGATTAAATAATGGAATTCTTGAAAGACTCTATAAAGTAGAGTTTAATAGGAGTGAAGGACTAGACGGTTTTATGATAAAGTAGATCCATAATGGTGTATTTAGCCGAAAAAGGCTCGAGCGTAGATCGTCGTGGATTCCAGGGGATTTTCTGCGATTAAACCGGGTCCGGATGATCGGCCATCAGGAATTCGGCTCCGTTTTTCGGTTATAGCAAAATTGCTGCGCCTCAAAATTTCATAAATTATCTTGCGTGAAATTATAATAATTAGTTATTTTCTCCTGTCTAATTACTGTGATACAAATATACCTCTTTTTTTTCTCTTCGCTCAACAATATGTCATGTTCAAAAATATTTTCAGGAGATTTACCTGAAATAACATAATATTAAAAATATTTTAAGAATGATTTTTCAACTTTATATTCATGTATTTTAATCAACAGATTTTGGTGTCGTCTAACGATTCCATTATTATGGGAAATCCATTTATAATTTCTACTGGAAATTATAAATTTATTGAAATATACTTGAATAATTTAAATAGTGATTTAAAGTCAAAATTAAAAGAATATAAAATTAATTATAATTTATTACCATCAAAAACAATTTTCAATTATCATAATTTTATAAAATCTTTGGATACGCGAAAGATTAAATCTTCTACTGTTAAGTGGACTAATAATATTATTAGAACTTTAAAACTTGATCTTTTTAATGATATAGATTTAAAAACTGATTTTATTGGATTGATTCAAACGTCACTATTTAAAATGTTTATTGAAAATGAAGTAATTATACATACTTTAAGCATTGAGATCTCAAATTATGATTTCTATCAAAATGAAATGTTTGAAATAATTTTACAAAATCAAAATTTCATCCACAATATTGGAAATTTAAAACTTTATATTGATGATACTTTTGATTATTCATATTTCGATAATTATAAGGATATATATATATTAAAGATAATTTATTACAAATAATTAATACACATCAAAATCTTAAAAAAAATTGTATTAGCTCACAATCATTTTCCTTTATTTCAATCATTATTGTTATCAAAAGTTGGTAATTGTTCAAATACTTTAAATACGACCATACTATATGAAGTCAATTTTAATGATATGATCGATTTAAACAAAATATTTGAACAATTAAATGTTTTGAAATCTGTTCATATCATTTATTGTATTTCTTTAAATAGTAGTTTTATTCATCAAATTTTTAATTTAGCTAAACCATTTAAATTAAAATCTTTATTTATAGATGAGAAATCACAAATTGATGAATCATTAAAATTATTATTGCAAAAATTTGGTGGTTATTTAGAAAATATTGGATGCAAATATTCTCATAGTATTATCAGAACAACAAATACTAAAATTATTATTGCAAAAATTTGGTGTTTATTTAGAAAATATTGGATGCAAATATTCTCATAGTATTATCAGAACAACAAATACTTAATAACATTATAATACAGTATATTGTAAGAATACCAAATTTCTTGAGTTATATGAATTTAAAGAACATCATAAACATTATCTTTCCATTGATTTAATTGAAAACATAAAACAAAATCTTAATTATCTTTCTATTAATGCAAATTCAATTATATTAAGAAATTTAGGTCAAGCTCTTCCTTTTAAATTAAAATATTTAAGTTTAAATCTTATCAATAATTTAATTGATCTAGAAATATTTTTAAAAAATTCTCAAAATACCTTAATTGAAAATTATTAATTAAAGGAGATAGTATGATGGCTACTATTTTATCTTGTATAAAGGAATTTATAATGAAAAGGAAGAGGGTCAAAATATTTGGCTATTATGAATTTTAAAAGTAAAGATTTTATTTTCTTTAAAGAATGAAGTAAAAGAATTTGAATTGTATAATATTAAAATTCGATATTATGATATTAGAGTTCATGAATTTATTAAAGAAATGGATTAATCTGGATCAACTAGAATGTAGTCATGCAAAAACTTTTTCAATTTTAAAATATTGAGCTAACTTAGGAATATTTTTTGAGTATAAATAAAAAAATTATTATGGCAACATTAGTACTTAGTTCAGTTGATAGCTGACGTGCGTCAAACGTAGTTTGATGCCTGACGTGTCACATAACATTAAGGCAGAATAAATATTGAATTTTCAGTATTATAAATTTTTATAATTAACCATTCTTTTCTTCTATTTATAGGATGCCAGGGCTGCTCGAATAATTAGATAGTCTGAACTTTCAGTTAGCTTCAGGTAAATAATAGAGAATTATTCAGTTTTTTTTTATTCAAGAAATATACTAATGTTTATTTTCTTTTTTTGGAACCCTTAATTCTTATTGTTTGAAAATTTTACCATATTTTTAACAGCTATGATGTTCTTAAATTCCTAATGATAGTTCTAACACCAATTAACAATATTTATTTGCAATTGAAAATTAAATTTATTTATACAATATTTTAAAGCAAACTGAATTTACAAATTTATAATATTAAATAATACTTAATTAAAATTATATAAATTCGTCTGAATTTTAAATAAAAATCTATACAAAACAAGAGTTTATTATTCATAGGGAACTGTGAAATTTATAATAAGAAATAGTATTTTGTTTATTTTTGTTTTCAAAATACAGTAGTTAGAACTAGAGGTCTGCATTGACCACTATTTTACAACCCGGCCCAGCCCGCACTTGGAAATTAATATCAAGTGCCCGGTCCGGCCCGGCCCGGACTGGACTGGACTGGACCCGGACTTTTATTGTATCATATTGTTGTAAAAACACAAAAATCGGCCAACTTAATTTTGGCCAGTTTAATTTCGGCCGGAATTAAGACGATTTTGGCCAGAATTACGAAAATCCGGGTTTAACGAAAATTTATGTTCCGGCCTGGACCCGACCCGGGTGAATTTTAAGGAAAGTTTGCCGACCCAAACCCAGATCCGGGTCCGGGCGGGTTAGGGTTTCCAGGTTCAGGGTCCCATTAGTAGACCTCTAGTTAGAACTGTTCTGTCAGTCATTTTATATATAAAATGGTGGCTATAAGTTGTACTAAGTTAGCTGTCAATTTTAGATTTGACATGAACATTGCAACTTAGAGCATTTAAGTTTATACTTTAGTGTATATATTATTATGAAAATTTTTATGGTTTCAAAATGATTACAAGCAATTATAAGCAATTTATAGGCTTTATTATAGAATTATAAAAATTATTATTAGTTTGTAATTTTTGTATTTTCTTTTTTTATTATTTTGTACAAGTTCTTAGTAAATTTACAAACAATTTATTCTAATTGAAATTTTCGATTTTTTATAATTTTTTAGGAAACCATTCATTTATTAGTAATTTGTATTTATATTATATTCAAAAATCGCGCATATTTGTTAAATATCAATTTTTATATTAACAATCTGCCATTATTTATGAATTCAAAGAATGAATTTTTACCTAAATTAGAAATCTTTGAGTTTAATGAAATTTTAATTACTTTAATGTCATCAACTTTTGATGTATATAAAAGTTCAAATTTTACACATTAGATTAGTTTTGTATCCCTATAAAAAGTATTTATATTTAAAATATAATTAAAAACTTTTTAAAATATATTTAAATTATACTTAAAATATATTTAATTTAAAAATTGTGAAATACTTATAATATACTTAAAATGTATTTAAAATTATCTTAAAATATATTTCTAATATATTTAATTTTTGCCAAAATACTTAAAATATACTTAAATTATACTTAAGTCAAAATTTAAGTATATTATAGATATATTTTTTACATACTTAAAATATACTTATAATATATTCTATAATATATTTTAAGTATATTTTAAATACATAAAAAATATACTTATATAGTCTTATAATATACTTAAATTTTAATTTAAATATAATTTAAATATATTTTAAGTATATGGGCAAAAATTAAATATATTAGACATATGTTTTAAGATAATTTTAAGTATATTTTAGATATATTAAAAATATATTTTAAGTATTTTGCAATTTTTTAAATTAAGTATATTTTAAATATATTTTAAATATATTTTAAGTATAATACTTTTTATAGGGTATATTTATACTTTTAATAAATTATATTTCATAATTGGATAAGTTACAAAAGAAAAAGATTTATTTAAATTACAAACTAAAGAACTTATAAAATATTTACTATTCTGGCCTTAGTGTTTAAATAATTCTAAATAAAATAAAAAAATAAATATACATATTTGGATAAAGGAATTATTCAAATTGCAAACTAAGAAACTTGTAAACATTTAACTGCTCTAGCCTTAGTGTTTAAATAAATCTAAAAAAAATGAAACAAAAAACAATTTGCATATCAAATGTAGCTTTAAACAATATAAAATTTTTTACAAAAAGTACAAATAATTACTTAGTTTTCATCTGTTTCAATATCTAGATAATTAATTAAATAAAATTAATTACAAATAAACAATTTGCAAATTACTTTGTTTTGTGTAATATAATACATACCTAATGAATTAATATCATTACTAATTCTACAATTGTCCAAACATTCACTTTCAAGATATTTATTCAATTTTTTACTAGTAAAATCAAGTACACGACTTGTATAACATGCTTGTGGATGAGATTCTGTAACAAGGTTGTTATTCCCAATTGGTGTATTTATAAATTCCATAACATACCTTTTTAATTCTTTACTAATATCTTCAATTTCCTTTTCATAAGGAAGAATAATCCACTCTTCAATAATATTTAAAACTTCTTTAGAAGATGGCCTTTTTAATGGATCTTCATCCCAACATTTTTTCATCAAATCTACATAACATTGTGGAGTATTTTTAATGATTTTAGGACGTCCACCTCTACAAATACTTAAACTAAGTTGAAAATCATGTGCTTCATCATTAAATGGTGGCACTCCAGATGTAAATTCCCACATAATCATAGAAAAACTATAAATATCACTAGCTGGAGTAAAATGCTTGCCTCTTAAAATTTCAGGTGCCATAAATGGTATAACACCATAAATTTCATATTTTTTCAAAAATGATTTTATAGGTTGACATAATCCTAAATCACTAATATAGACTTTAACATTTTCATAGTTTTCACTTTCTTCATTTTTTTCACTTTCCTTATTTTCTTCACTTTCATTTTCCTTATTTTCTCCATTTTCTTCATCTTTATGATTTAAAATGTTGCCATCATGAAAATCACAATGAATAAGCTTTTGTTTATGTATCTCATTAAGCCCAGAAATAATTCTATGTAACATATGTAATTTTTGCTTCCAATCATTTTTGATTATTTTTGTCAAATTTCCTCTAAAATTACCTTTGTTTGCATAATCCATTACTACCATATAACGCAAAGTATCTGGGGATCTTGTAAATCCATAAAAATTAATAATATCATATGAATTTAAACATCTTTCATGATTTTTCCACTAGTAAAACATAATAATAATATATTAGTATAAATAAATTATAATTTAGTAAAGTTAAAAAAGAAGAAATAAATAATATATTATCATACTTCATTTAAAAATTGGTTTGAATTTTCATTTAAATTATTGTGACATTTGAGAACTACTTCTTTATTTCCATTATTGTTTAACCAAGTAGCTTTGTATATAATGCTAAATCCTCCTTTATCAAGATATACAATATTTTTAAACTCATTATAAGGAATCCATTTTAAATTTTTTTCAAGAATAAATTTGTCTATATTTTCATCTCCACATCTCCTAAATCTATAAATTTAAATAATTAGTAAAATTATATTAAAGTTTATATAGTTTATATTAAAATTTACACTAAAATTTAAAATTAGAATTAACACTTACCCTAAAATTTAAATAAGAATTTAATATAATATAAATCTTAGTTTTTGTACTAAAATACATATATAATAAACTATAATTTACAACTTACCGACTAAAGTAACAGATATTTTTTTAAAATAAGAATTCAGTTGATTAAAACTATAACTGAAATTTAACATTACTATATAACTTATAACTTACTTGCTATATTAATAAATAATGTTTTAAATAAAAATTTAGTTTAAAATTATATAAAAATATTATATAAACATGTAATAGTAAAATTAAATAAATAACTTACTCTCTATATTATTAAATAATTATTTTTAAAAAGGAAATTAAGTTAGTCTGAATTATAAGAAATATCATATAAATATATAAGTAATAAAATAAATAACTTACTCTCTATATTATTAAATAATTTTTTTCAAACAAAAAATTTTAGTTAGTCTGAAAATATTTTATAATAATCAAATTAAATAAATAACTTACTCTCTATATTATTAAATAATTTTTTTAAACAAAAAATTTAGTTAGTCTGAAAATATTATATAATAATCAAATTAAATAAATAACTTACTCTCTATATTATTAAATAATTTTTTTTAAATAAGGAATTTAGTTAGTTTAAATTATAAGAAAATATAATATAAATACGTAATAATAAAATNTTTTTTTTTTTTTTTTTTTAAACAAGGAATTTATTAGTTTAAATTATATGCCATTATTATATAAATATATAACAATAAAATTAAATAAATAACTCACTCCCTATATTATTAAATAATTTTTTGAATGAAAAAGTAAATTAGTTTAGATTGTATGAAAATTTACGTAAATATATATAATAATAGAATTAGTTAAATAACTTATTACTTCCTATAACTTACCACCTATATTATTAAATAATTTTAATAAAAAATTTAGTTAGTTAAATTATATGTAATAGTTATGCAGCCTAATTATTTAATAAACTGCAAGCATAATGATACAGTTATTGAAAGGGGAGTAACACCCTGTAGGGCGTATCTAATAACTGTAACATATTGTATAAATATGTAATAGAACTAAATAAATAACTTACAAACTATATTAATAAATAATGTTTTATATAAAGAACGTTAGTTTAAATTATATACAGTAAAATATTTTGTAAATATATAATAATATAAATAAATAACTTACGCCCTATATAATTAAATATTTTTTTTTAATTATTTTAATTAGCAATTTACTTAGTATAAATTATATGTAAAATTATATAAAAATAACTTGCATGCTATATTATTAAATAAATTTTTAAGTAAGAAAATTATATGTAAATATTATATAAATATGTAAAGTAATAGAATATAATAAATAACTTACAAGCTATATTATATTATTAAATATATTTTTGTTTAAATAAAGAATTTAATTAGTTTAAATTATATTTAAATATTTAAATAAATATGCAATAACGAAATTAAATAGTAAATAACTTACTTCCTATATTATCAAATAATTTTTAGGTAAAGAAATTATTTAGTTTAAATCATATGAAATATTATAGAAGTATAATTAAATAAATAACATACCCCCTATATCATTAAATAAAGAATGTAAGTATTATGTAAATAGGTAATAATAAAATCGAATAAATAACTTACATGCTATATTATTAAAATAAAGGATTTAGGTTAATTATATATAAATTATATAAATATTATAAATGTATAATAATAAATTAAATAAATAACTTACTCCCTATATTAATAAGTAATAAAGAATTTAGTTATTTTATTTTATATAAATATTATGTAAATATGTAATAATAGAATCAAACAAATAACTTACAAGCTATATTATTAAATATTTTTTTTTTTTAAGAATAAAGAATTTAGTTAGTTTAAATTATATATATATAAATATGTAATAATAGAACTAAATAAATAACTTACGAACTATGTTATAAATAATTTTTTAAATAAAGAATATTTTAGTTTATATCATATATAATAATTGAATGAAATAACAACTTCAATTACCCCCTATATTATTAAGCAGTATTTTTAAATAAAGAATTTAGTTAATTTAAATTTTATGCAAATATTATATCAATATATAATAATAGAAATAAATAAAAACTTACAAACTATATTGTTAAATAATTTTTAAATAAAGGAATTTAGTTACTGATTTAAATTATATATAAATATTGTATCATAAAATTAAATCAATAATTTACCTACTATGTAATTAAATAATTTTTACAAAAGAAATTTAGTTAATTTAAATTATGTGTAAAATAATATAAATGAAAAACTTATAACTTACATTCTAAAATAAATTGCCAAATAATTTTAAATAAAGAATTTAGTTAATTAAATTATGTATATATTATATAAATATGTAATAATAGAGTTAAATAGATAACTTACCCCCTATACAATTGAATAATATTATTTTAAATAAAGAATATAAATATTATATAAATATGTAATAAACTAATAATAGAATTAAATAAATACTTACAAACTATGATATTGTTAAAAAAATTTAATTAGTTTAAATTATACAGTAAATACTAGTGTATAAATATGTAATAATAATGATAGAATTAAACAATACTTACAAACTATATTATTAAGGAATTTTTCAAAAAATTTAGTTAGCTTATCATGTTATATATAAATATTATATATTAGGATAAAATAACAACTTACAAGCTATATTATTATTTTTAAATAAAGAATTGAATCAGTTTAAATTAAATGTAAAAATTATATAAATAGTAAATAACTTACCCACTATATCATTAATAATATTTTAAAAGAAGAATATGAGTATTATATAGAGATATAGTAATAGAATCAAATAAATAGCTTACTTACTATATTATTAAATAATTTTTTAAATAAAGAATTTAGTTAGTTTGATTATGTATAAATATTTAATAATATAAATAAATAAATAACTTACAGGCTATATTATTAAATAATTTGGTTTAAATAAAAAATATGTTAGTTTCAAACTTTAAATTATGTATAAATATATATATAATATACATATAATATGTTATTACTTACCCACTATATTATTGAATAATATTTTAAAGAGTTTAATTAAATTATATAAAAATTGTAAATTTGTAATCACCATAAATATAAATAAATAACTTACAAACTATAATTTTTTAATAAAATATTTAGTTAGTTTAAATTTATATAAGCATCATACAAATATGCAATAATAAAATTAAATAAATAACTTACTTCCTATATTTTGAATGATTTTTGAAAAAAAGAATTTTGTTTAAATTATATGTAAATGTTTGGTATTAGGACATTTCACTAAAAGCCATTTTGTCAAAAAATAGTCTCTAGCCTGAGTTTTTCATAGCATAATATTAATTATTGACCCTATTTTTTGGTGAAACATCCTGGAAATAGCTTTTGACAAAATATCCCATAACCATAAATGTTATATAAATAATAATAAATTTAATTATTAACCTACCCACTATATTATTATAAATAATTATAATAATTTTTTAAAGATTTCAGTTTAAATTATATGCAAATATTATGTAAATACATAAATTATAAAATTAAATAAATAACTTACAAACTGTATTATTAAATAATTTTTTCAATTAAAATATTAATTAGTTAAATTATATTTAAATATATATTAAATAATTAAATTATAGTAACTTACCAACTAAGAGTTTAAATAAATAATATAATTAATTAAATTATATGCAAATACTATTATATAATAATAGAATTAAATAATTTGACTTACCCACTATATTATTATTAAATAGTTTTTTATAGTTAATATAAATTGTATATAAATATATATTAATAGAATCAAATATATAACTTACATGCTATATATTAAATAAAAAATAATTGAGTTAATATAAATTATAAAATTATATATAAATAATTAGAATATAATGCAATAATAAAGTTAAATAACTTACATACTGTATTATTAAATAATTTTTTAAATAAAGAATTTAATTAGTTTCAATTATATATAAATATTATACAAATATAATAATAGAATTAAATAGGCACTTACAAACTACATAATTAAAGAATTAATTAGTTTAGATTGTATATAAATATTATATAAATATGTAAATATTAACTTACAAGCTATTATTAAATAATTTTTAAATAAAATATTTAGTATAATTATATGTAAATATTATATAAATAATAGAATTAAATAAATATCTTACAAACTATATTATTAAATAATTGTTTATAAAAATAAAAATTTAGTTAGTTTAAATTATAAATAAATATATAATAATATAATTGAATAATAACTTACTCCCTATATTATTAACCAATTTTAAATGTAGTTAATTTAAATTATATGTAAATATCATGCAAGTTTATAATGACAGAATTAAATAAATTACTTACAAACTATATTTTAACCAATTTTTTAGACAAAGAATTTAGTTAATTTGAACATGATATAAATAAATAATAGAATTAAATAAATGACTTACATGCTATTATAAAATAATTTTTAAATGAAGATTTTAATTAGTTTTAATTATATTTATCATATAAAAATGTAATAATATAATTAATAAGTAAATGATTTACTTTCTATAATTTTTAAATAAAAAAATTTAATTAGTATTATAAATATGTAATAATAGAATTAATAGAATTAAATAAATGACTTACTTTCTATATTATTACATAATTTTAAATAAAGAATTTAATTAGTTTTAAATAATAAATAAATATATAATAACAGGATTAAATAAATAACTTGTAAGTTATAACTTACCAGCTAAAATAAATTATAAAATAATTTTTTAAATAAAAATTTGGTTAATTTAAATTATATGTAAATATTATATAAACATATAATAATAGAATTAAATAACTTACGAACTATATTATTTTATAAATAAAGAATTTAGTTAATCAAATTATATATAAAATTATTAATAGAATTAAATAAATAACTTACAAACTATATTATTATGTAATTTTTTAAATAAGTACTTAGTTAAATTGCATGCAAATAATATAATAATAGAATTAAATAAATAATTTATAACTAACCACCTAAAAGATAAAAAACTTAGTTAAGTCAAATTATATATGTGAGTATATAATAATAGAATTAAATAAATAACTTACAAGCTATATTATTAAATAATTTTTTAAATAAGGAATTAAATTAGTTTAAATTATATAAATATATAATAGGATTGAATAATAACTTACAAGCTATATTATTAAATAAAAAATTTATTTAGTATAAGTTATATGTAAATATGATGTAAGTAATGAAATTAAATGACTTACAAGCTATATTAGTAAATAGTTTTTTAAATAAAAAATTCAGTTGATTCAAATTATATGTAAAAATTATATAATAGTAGAATTAAATAAATAACTTACCCTCTATATTATAAATAAGTTTAAATAAAAAATTTAGTTAACTTAAATATGTGAATATAATTATAGTACTAGTAAATATTAAAATATTAACTTACTTTCTATATTATTAGTTAATTTCCAATAAAGAATTTAATTAGTTTAAATTATACATAAATATTATATAAATATATAATGATAAATAATTAACTCACTCCCTATATTGTTAAGTAGTAAAAAATTTAGTTAGTTTAAAATATATGCAAATATTATACAAATATGTAATACCAGAATTAAACCAATAACTTACAATCTATATTATTTAATTTTTAAACAATGATTCAATTAGTTTAAATCATATGTAAATATGTAATAGTAATAGAATTAAATAATAACTTACAAACTATTATATTATTAAATAATTTTTTAATTAAGAATTTAATTAGTTTAGATTGAATTTGTAATATATGTAATAATAGAATTAAAAAAAAATAATTTACCTCCTATATTATTAAATAATTTTTTAAATAAAAAATTTAGTTAGTTTGAATGAGTAATAGTACAAATATATAAAATAACTTACTCCCTATATTATTGAAAAATTTAGTTAATTTGAATTATATAAATATTATATAATAATATTATTATATAAATTAATAATAGAACCAAATAACTTACTTTCTATATTATTGAATAAAAAATTTAATTAATTTATATTATATATACTTATATTATGAAAACAATAAATAACTTATAACTTACTGACTAAAAGAAATTACCAAATAATTTTTTTAATAAAGAGAATTTAGTTAGTTTAAATAATAACATATAAGTATTATATAAATATGTAATAATAGAATTATTCAAACAACTTACCCCCTATATTATTAAATAATTTTAAAATAAAGTTAATAAATATTATATAATAAATATGTAATAGTAAAATTAAATAAATAACTTACGAGCTATCATATTATCAAACAATTTTTTGAATTTAATTAGTTTAAATTAAATATAAATATGTAATAATAGGATTAAATAAATAACTTACAATCTATATTATTATTATTAAATAATTTTTAAGTAAATAATTTAATTATATTAATATTATATGTAAAAATGTAATAATAATATTAAATAACTTACAATCTATATTATTAGTAATTGTTTAAGTAAAGAATTTAGTTAATTTAAATTCGATGTAAATATTATGTAATATATAATATTATGATAAATAAATAACTTATAACTTACCAGCTAAAAAATTTCAAATAAAGAATACTCAATTTAGTTAATGTACATGTAAGTATTATATAAATATATAATAATAGACTTAAATCGATAACTTACAATCTATATTATTAAACGAATTTAATTAGTTTAAATTATATATAAATAATATTGACTATGTAATATTAGAATTAAATAAAATGTTAACTTACGAGCTATATTATTAAATAATTTTTAATTTTTAAGCAAAGAATTTAGTTAATGTAATTATATGTGAACATAATAAAAGTATATAATAAAAGAATTAAATAAAGCAATTTCCATTTATACACGGGATGTTCAAGCAAAAAGGGGACGTCTAAAGCGGAGCAGTTTTGGCCGGCATTACGGCATTAAGGAATTTACTATGATCACGTGATTCTACTCCGCTTTAGACGCCCCCAAAAAAAGTACGTAAATTTTTATGCCGATCACTTAATGTTGGCTGAAAAAAATAAAAAATTTTTTGTTAAATAAGTCTAAAAATGATATATTTTCAGAGATACACTTACCGTCCATTTTTTTAAAGTTATATTTATTTTTGTTATACTGACACGTGATATGTGCTTGAAGTACCCGTGTATATTAAAATTTTCTTAAATAAATATCTTACGAACTATATTATTAAATGATTTTTAAAATAAAAACTTAGTTAGTTTAAATTATATGTGAATATTATAATGTATAATAAATAAATGACTTACTTTCTATGTTATTAATAAATGATTTTTAAGCAAACAATTTAGTTAGTTTAAATACATGCAAATATTATATAATTATATAACAATTAAATAAATTACCCCCTATATTATTATAATTATTTTAAATAAAAATTTCAGTTAACTTAAATTTATAAGTATTATATAAATATGTAATGGAAAATAACTTACTCTCTGCATTGTTAAGGAATTTTTTAAATAAAGAATTTAATTAGTCTAAATTATATATAAATATTATATAAATATGTAATAATAGATTAAATAAATAATTTACCGCCTATATTAATAGATAATTTTAAATAATAAATTTAATTAGTTTAGATTATATAAAATATCATGAAATAAATTAGCTCATACTTACGAACTAAAATAAATCATCAATAATTTATTAAGAAAAGTATTTTAGTTAGTTAATTTATATTACCGTATATGCAAATGCATGTAATAATAGAATTTAATAAATAACTTAGAACTTACCGACTAAAAAAAATTGCCAAATAATTTTTTAAAATAAAGAATTTATTTTTGTTTAAATTACTGTACATAAGTAAGATAACATACGACTTACACCCTGTAATATTATTAATTGTTAATTAGTTAAATATAAATATAATACAGATATATACTATAAATAAATAATATATATCTTACAATCTAATAATTTAAATAAAGAATTTATAATCAGCGTTAGTCGAGTTTTGTAAATTATCAAACAATAAATATAATATTATTAAGTAATGTAACTTGCCATCTGGAATATAATTAATTATTAAGTAGTTATTTAAACAAAGAACTTCAGTTAGTTATTTGAAAATAATGTGAAATAAAGTACTAAAAGTTTAACTTACTAACTATAGTATTGTCGATCATTAAATGAATTATTTAGTTATATAGAATATGAAAAAATAAGTAATTTCATTATTATTCAATTTTAAGATAATCTATTGACTTACGAGCCAAATATTTAATGTGCCTTTTATCTTTATCATCACTGTCAGCCATTACTATATAATTATATCAAATGAAAAAGATAATGTATATATATATATTTTTTTTTTTTATTTACGTGGGTATATATTTATGCAAAAATGCATTATGTCGATCAAAAGATGCATACAATGAGCATTTGCAATAAGATCACGTGACTAAACATGGACGTGTTGATTGGAGAGATCACGTTGTTTATATTTATCTCATCGACTGAGTTTTTTTGAATGATATGATGCCTATTCGTCACAACCTATAAGTGTATGCAAATTGTTAAACTTTGCATGCCCTAAAAATATAACTTCTAAACTTAATTTAGCAAGTTTGCTTAGGTGATGAAGTTAGTTTTAAATTTTATTTTTGACTTATTTGGTTTTTTCGTTAAAACCATATTAAAATGATCAGCAAAGACGATATTATTAGTTTTCTATACTTGTTTAATAATCAAAACCAAACCAAACTTTAGAGCAGTTAATAATACATCCAGTTTAGGATTATAAAGCTTTATTTTTATATTTTAAAGGAAAATTTTAATTTAATTTTCCTGAAAAGTGCTACACTACAAGAATCTGATGATACACATTCGGACATTTTCACACAAACGACACTAGAAAGAAATTATAAATTGTTTAGTAAAGAAAGAATTTCTAAAAAGAAAGGCACTTTAGAATTTTCTTTTTAAAAATTAAGCCACTTAAAAATATTTGAAACAGAGTTGATTATAAAAAAGTCCACCTGATTATGGGCTATATATCTTTCTTGTATTGTTAGTATCTTTCTGAAAAACATTATCGTGTAGTTAGCCGCGAAACATAACTGCATTATTTCTGGTTGGTTGATCATCTGCACCTAGTTTAATCGCAAAAATTTAAACATTTATAATACGGCAAAAAAAAATTTAAGGTTCACCCCATTTTTATTCAGTTAATTTTGTCATTTTGCCAAGAGTTCTTTTAGGTTGAATAGATTAAGGGACTTCGGGTTAGAGAATGTCAAAACGCCAACATATCCTAGTTTAAAATAAAATGTATCACAGGATTAAAAAACCATTGATTCAAAAGTATTTTTTGTTAAATAGCGTAAAAGTTTTCTTAATTGCTTGCATATTATTAGATCACTATTCAAATACTAGATTTCGCATTTTATGTACTATTTTAATCATTTTAATTATTTTAGTCTTTAAATGAAGTTTCTCTTTTAATTTTTTGAATAAATGTATGAATATGTAATAATCAATTAAAACTCGATGATAATTATGGAAATGAATTATATTACAATATATACTTATGACTCGTGTTCGATTTAATAATTGTTATGAAAAGATCCTGCGGTAAATGTCCTATAATATTATTAATCGAAGGTTGATGAGATTTTAGATCAAACTGTCTTTCATGACGCAGCAAAATTTTGAGACCTAGAAATCCTACTGTTGATGTAAATTTCTCTAGTATTTCACAAATAAGCATATTTCATTTAAACCTTAAACTCAATAATCAATATATGTTACTTTGAATTTGCTTTCATTTATTTTATGTATTACATAAAAATAAAATTCACCCTTTGCACAAAAATATTATCATATATTTATTCGTATGCTTATTTATTGACCTCATTTGAAGCACTGATATCTCGCGAAATACTTTTGCAGGTGTACATATTCTTACGTTTGAAGAATCAAAATCTCGTCCAACCATAGGAAAATAGCATATATCTACGCGTAATTTATCATCATTCCATGTTTCCTTTCATCATATTTGGATCAATAATATGGTTACTTTCAAAATATTCAATTGCTAATTTTGGTTCCTGAATATTTGGATGAAATCAAAGTAATTTATAAATAATATCTCGAATTAGTTTTGGTGCCATTGCATCAACTTGTTCTTTTCTATTAATATCGTTGATTTCACATTGAAAAAACCAATTTTTTTTACTAATTGTAAAAATTTAATTAGATCGTTAATTCAGTCAAGGCTAAATTCAGTCTTCATTAAGATTCACATGACTGCACTAAAAATTGATATGACTGAACTCAGAAAGATCGTTGGACCAGACTCCGCAAAGATATACTCATAACAAAAGATGTTATAATTGTCTGTTTGCGTAAAATGGATTATGTAGTTCTTGCCTTTTTTGGATAATTCCGGTCAAATTTATGTTACCTTTTTATATACTGTTTGACATTATCTTAGTTCTGGCCCTGAAGAAATGCGTACAATCCATTAAATGATAGGCTAGAGCAAACATGGAACATTATACAACATTACACAACATGATATTTATCCTTTTTAGATCTGGTTCTGCAATACAGTTACTTATAGTTAACTAAATATAGATGCAAAAACCATTTGATATAATATTAATTGTTATTTCTCAAATATAATTTTCATAACTAAGGAAAATCACCTCATAAATTTTTATTTGAAATATGAAATAAAAATTTATACTTTTTCAAAATAAAATGTGATGCGCTTTTATAATACAGTATATTAGTCCGAAGTGTAACGAAGGACTATATGCTATTCGTATCAGTTTCACAAATGTCCTGTTGTCTGTCCAGCACGTGATGATGTGCAATGATTACTGCGCTTCGGACTTTTCCGTTTCGCTTGGGTAGTACATTTTTTGATTTTACAGTATGTAACGTTCATTAGGTTATACGACTAACTTGATAAGTCAAGGGCTATGATGTTATGACTTCCGATTTTTTTCCTTTTGTTTTCTTTCTTTTTTTTTTTTGTTTCAAGATCTTAATAAGGTTCAAGCATGACTGATATTCGTAAAGCTAATGCTGCAATTAAAAGAGCATATACCTTAATAGATTTTAGTATTTACAATGATGTACATAAACAATATGAATTTAAAAGACAAGCAATTCTTGTTGATGATTCACTTATAGAAAATGAAAAATCTGAAGCAATAAGAATTTTGACTGCAAATTATGATGAAAGCAAAATTATTTATAATGAAGGAATAAAAAGAATTTGTAAAAATTGTAACAAAGAATGTTTGGCCACATTATATTGTGAATATTGCGTTCGAAATTATTTAATAGCAAATTTTTCAAATTGGACATCTGGAAATGATAATATTGATAATTTAATACAAGATAGTCAGATGAAAGCAATAAGCCCAAATCTAATACCAGAATGGATCCCATACAATAATCTTCAAAATATTGAATATCTAACAAAAGGTGGATGCTCTGAAATTTATATAGCAGAATGGGTTAATGGAAGTTATGATGAATGGGATTTTAAAGAACAACGATTAAAAAGATATGGTGAACATTTAGTAGTACTTAAAAGACTAGAAAATATCGAAAATGCAAATCAAAGTTGGTTTGAAGAGGTTTGTAATATAGAAATATTTTAAAAAGTAATAACTGAACTTTGTGCCTAAAATTTTAATATAATTTTTGTAGGCTAAATCACATTTAACTATAAGCAATAGATGTCCAGAAATTGTACAATGCTATGGATTAACACAAGATCCATCAAATGGAAGTTATATGCTTGTAATGAATAAGACAGATACAGATTTAAGAAAATATTTACAACAAAATCATAATCAACTTGCATGGAAGGAAAGAATTCAAATTGTTGCTGATATAATTCTAGCACTTTTACGAGTTCATAATGAGAATGCAATTCATAGAGATTTGCACTCCGGGAATATATTATTCATGGTATTTGATAGTAGATCTTTTATTAGTGATCTTGGATTTTGTGGACCTGCAAATAAACCGTTAAAAAGTATATATGGAAATCTTCCTTATATAGCGCCTGAGGTTATTATTGGAAAAGAACAGACTTTTAAATCTGATATTTATAGTATTGCAATGCTTATGTGGGAAATTTCATCTGGACGACCACCATTTATTAATTATGAACATAATTACGATCTTGCTATGAATATTGTTAATGGTATAAGACCAAAAATTATACCAGGAACTCCTTTAGAATATAAAGATTTAATGATACAATGTTGGGATGCTGATCCATCAAAAAGGCCTGATATTATAACACTTCGCAGTAAAATAAGAGAAATCAATTATTTTTATCAGAGTAAATCAAACCAGTCAGAAGAAAATAATGTAAGTAGCCTGGAAAATTATACAAGTACAAGCAAGCTTTATCAATTTGGAACTTTTCCTGAACCAAGAAATGCAACAGAAGGTAATATCCCAGTTTTTACATTTTGGTCAATTATTTGAAGAGTATTGTTATTAATAATATTATTTTAATTAAAATAATAGAAGAACTAGAAGGTAATAAATTATTTTAAATTTTCTTAATTTAAATGATTGTGATAATTAATTATTTTTTGAACTCTTAGCATTTTACAGTAAACCTTTTAACTCCTATATTCCTGATAACAGTAAGTATTTTAGATTAATATTAAATCTATTAACTTATTTAATTTGATACTGTTAGTTGATGATTTTGATAAATTAAATAATGATCAGAATAGAACATCAAGGATGAATAGTATATTTAAAGCTAATTTGTTCAATATAAATTTTATTAACTTTAAGAAGTAGTCAAATCAATAAGTAATAATGTTTATTAAATTATTTAGTAAATAGTAATAGATTATTCAAAATATTTAAAAAGAATTTTCAAGATGGTATATTATAGAGAAGAAATAATGCAACAACAAAGAAAGAATATTTATATTAATAGATTATTTAATGTCATTTTAATGATTGTTTTTATTCATTAATTCTAATTTATTATAATGTAGATGAGGATGAAGTATACAATAATCCTAACCTTCATTCAGAAGATCAAGATAAATTGGAAATCTCTGATAGTAAGGGAATTTATTTTATACTAATGTTGAAACTTTAAATAGCTATTAACCTTATTTTTTTAATGTATTTAGATTAAGGTTGGTCACTGTAAGTAATATATTACGGCATTTTGGATTACAACTTGTATTACTACCTAATTTTCAGATTATGACTCAAAATTACAAAATTGCCGTATTAAAGTTGTAATTATTCTTAATTTCAGCCAAGTCCATAATGCCGGGTCAATTTTTTCGCATTATATCACGTGACATTACACTAGTTTCCATAAAAGGGGTCATCTAAAGCCAGGTTCGATCATGTAACTTGTAAAATTTTATTTTTACAAATAAACTTATTTACCAATATATAAAACTTTTAAGTTACATATAGTATGTGTATTTTAGCCCGCTTTGCAAGTTTACTTAGTGCGCAACATGGGTTTTAAACACCGTTTTTGACTTATTTGAATTTTTCATTTTCATCATCTATTTTTAGATATGATCGGCAAAGATTATTCATTTATATGTAAAGTCAAAACCAGTGTTTAAAATACGCTTTCATTCACTAAGTAAACTTGTAAAGCAGGTCAAAATACACTTATTATATAACTTTCATACTTACATTAATCCTAGTTCATAAAAAAATGGCTTATTTATAAAATGTCAAGTCACATGATCGAACCTGACTTTAGACGGCCCCCATAAAAGGCAATTTTGTATTCCAATGAAATCTGGAATGAGTTATATAAGTTATACTAATTTCCAAAAAAGGGCATCTAAAGCCGTGTGCAATCACGTGATCCATCTGATTTTCTGGGTTAGAGATGGCAACGGTCACGGTCATTAACCGGTTATGACCGGTCATGACCATGACCGATATCGGTCGGTCAAAGACCTCTGACCGACCATTTGACCGACCATTTGACTGACCGTTTAACTGATCCTGAAAATGTTTGCGAAATGTAATTTAATAAAAAAATATTTCGCAAACATTTTTTTAATTATTTTAATAGAAAACGTTGCGAAAATGTTTTTTATTAAGTATTTCAAACGTTTTTTATTAAATTACGTTTTGCAAACATTTTCAGGATCGGTTAAACGGTCGGTTAACTGGTCAGTCAAACCGGTCGGTCAAAGGTTCTTGACCGGTTATGACCGATTGATGACTGACCATGACCGACCGTTGCCATCCCTATTCTGGGTGCTACAGTATCAGATGGAACGTGATATTTGTATTACTTGTAAATATACGCCTCTTTCATCTCTTTTTTTAAGGGGGAGTATACCATGTAGATCATTTTCATAATAAACTATTTGGAACGATCATTACAAGGTAATACAAGATAAACGTGACTATGAAAAAAAAATCAAAATACGCCAAACCGCTTTCATATTTTTTGTGTAAACTCTCCAGAATTCACGCTTCACATACCATAAAATAAAGTCAACATTATTTTACTAAATAATATTTTGACATATATATAAAGTTTTTAGCGAACTGCCAATTTTCAAGTAAGAGCTGCCAATTTTCTAGTTTGTTCTAAGTAACCTTTATTAAAACTTTTATATCTTTGTTTAAACGACTTGTAAAAAGTGTTTTTATATTTGTTTAAAGCAAAAAACTTGATATTATGCTAACTTCTGAGTTTTTAAATTTTTTTAGAACATGTCATGGTTTGAGGTACTAAGAAAGACTAATGAAAAATATATTAGTATTCAACGTACTGATAGAACGTGGCTTGTACGAGATGATACGAAATCACTTCAGATATTATCTTGTCACCACCACACTATATCCAAAAAAAATAATGCATATCAACTTTGCGCCATCACATCAATGAAACCTGATCCTGGGCAAAAAAAATGTTGGATCCCCCTTGTTCCTGGCTATTGCATTATGTCTAAAGTTGGATTGCATTTTATGCGACTTTCCATTACCGAAAATAACAATAATTTACAATTTGAATGGATTGATTATGGTAATGATAGTACATTTATGGGAAATCCAGTTGCTAGTGGAGTAGATAGTGAATTTTTTCAATCTTTACGGAAATATGCTGAAACGCAAAGTGTTATTAAAGGCAAAATATCAATTCCAAATGTTCTTGGATTAAACATTTATGAAAATGCAATATATCTTCGTAGTATAATTTCTCATTTACATGATGGAATCTTTTTATCATTAAAAGAAGCCTATAAAGCTAGTACCAAAATGAATAAATTTGTAAAATCCTTGAATAAACGTGCTCTTGAATTGGATGAAGAATTTTCTAATGGTAATGATCGTCCTAATAAAAAAGTCAAAAGTGGGTTGATCTTTTCGCCTTTTGGACACAAACTTACGCCTCAACAAAGTCAAGTACTTGTATTTAATTTTCACTCTATTCAAAGCAAATTTTATCAGGCTAATAAACGTTTGAAGCGGGCACAGAGTAACATTGAAAAATTGAAAACATTGCCACCCCCATCTTGTAAACAAAAAGAAATTGAAGCACAAAAAAAATTGATTGATGAAAAAATTAAGCAATTAAAGGATGAGGAAAACCTTGGCAGTAGCATTATTTGCAGTACTGATTCATTTCTCTCTTTGATTTTGACACAGCAATGCTCTTGTGGAAACAATGATATTTTACAGAAAAAATGCAAAATATCTTCGGGTGGATTATCAGTTAAAGTAGTAATTAAATGTAAAAAATGCAAAGAAACTTTATCTTTTCAAAATGAACCTCAAGATATGAATTATACAAAAGCATTTGCTGCTGCTACATTATGTGGTGGATTGAATCGTCAAGAATTTCAAAATTCAATGTTAACTCTTGGTATTACCAAATTACCTAGTAAGGCCATTTATCATAGATATCAAAAATCAATAAGCGAAGATATTGAAAATATTGCTTTAGAAAATGCTAAAAAAGCATTATATGCGTCAATTGAGGATGCTAAAAAAAATGGAAAAAATGCTTTAACAATTGGATTCGATGCATCATGGTCACATGTACGCAATGCAGCACAAGCTAGTGGTGAATTCATATATCATGGAATTCCTGAAGGAAGATATTATTTTACTTTATTTAATTACATTTATTTAATAATTTAATTGACATTCTTATTATATCCTACTAATAGGATATACTCGCAAACCAGTTGTTGGATTTTTTGTTGTAGAAAAAAGTCATGTTAAAAAAGATAAAAATGGAAACAAAACAATAATGCATCAAGGAAACCATGAAGCTAGTTCTAAACAAATGGAACATGCAGTGCTTATTGGAATATTGGAGAAAGTGGTTCCTGTTTTAGAAGAAACTGGTATGCTTTTAGATATTGTAGTAGATGGAGATTTTGATAGTAATAAAACTTTGCATGGAGTAAAATGTGTAAATCAAATATTTTCCGATCTTAAGCATTTAACATGCAATATCCGAAAAAAATTAAATGGTAATTATAATTAATTTATTATGCATATATTTCAAAAATAATTAATTTTACTTTTTTATAATAGCTAAAAAATGGGAGCACTATTCTCGTTATGAAGACGTAATATTACAATATTATAAAAAATGTATATTTGCTGTAGCTGCCCGAAAAGCATCTAATAATGAAGATTAACCACCTACGACTGAATTGGTAAAACATTTGCAAATACATGGATTAACCAAACATTTATGTGATGATCATTCGGAATGTTGGCCAGAGGTATGTTGGATGACACAAAATCCCGAATTAGTCCTTTCTGAACCAAATCTCTTGAATTGTACATCTGAAGAATGAGAAAAATTTTCTGCAATGCTTGGAGAAATTTTTCAATTAAATATTGGACAAAGTCTTATAACAGATGCTAGGACATCTCAAAATGAAGCATTCAATAGACAAAAATTAAGTTTTGTTTCAAAATTAATCGATTATTGGAAAACATATTCTGTACGATATACATGCTGCCCAAATTATTTTGGGATGCCATAATTATAATTTGGGATGACATAATTCATTCAATTTATATATAATTTACTATGTAAAGTGCCAAAATAATTTGGGATGCCATAATTGAATTTGGGATTTTACTTATAATTACGGCAGTCCAAAATAATTTGGGTGGCATGTATACTGTACGATATGCTTTAGCAGTTATTCATAATAATTCAGGCCTATTATTAATGTTACAAAATATACGTGCACAAAAGGGACTAACTGTATTTTCTGAAATTGATATACTAAATATTGAGCATATTTCTGGTGGGCGTGAATCACAAAGGCAAAGAAATCAACAAGATCTACAAATAAAAAGTGCGGCTAAAGTAGCAAAAATTGCACAACAGAAAAAAAATTTGGATACGTTTGACTTTGATCAGGTACGTATATAATTGAATTGACATTATTTCTAGTAGATTTAGAAGTTTAATAATAATATTTTTTTTAGAGTTTAGTTCCATATGGACAAAAAACACGTATTGCATTAGAATCTAAAACATTTTGTTCTTCTTTTACGGGTCTAATTTGTGAGTTACTTGACATTTCAAACAAATGTATCAGTTGTCAATCTTTTCCTAAAGAGTTCCCTAATGGCTATTGCAAGATATGTAATTTTTGGAATTATTTGGGATTTACTCAAAGAATACCCGAAATTAATGTTCAAATGGCAAATAATGAGCCAAATCAGCTATTAATTTCTAATAAAATTCCTGAATTGAATCAAATACTAAAACAAGTGTTTGGATTTTCAAGTTTTCGTGAAGGACAATATGAAGCTATATGCTCATTCTTAGGAGATAAAGATACTTTAGTTATATTGCGAACTGGAGGTGGTAAAACTTTATGTTTTGCAATGGCTGTGCTTGCTTCTTCTCGTTTAACTGTTGTTTTTACTCCCTTAAAAGCATTAATTGACGATCATGTGGTAATATACATTTGATTTATAACTTTTATTTTTGGTATTTACCAATATCTTCTATTCACAGAATAATCTTGTTCATATGGGAATTCCTGCTGCAGGACTTTATACATCTACAGGACAATCTTTTGAATATTAGGAGCGCGTTTTTTCTGAACTATCTTTAGGAATTTTACCTATTTTATTTATAACACCAGAGAAATTGGAAAAAAATAGATCATTTTATCGGCTACTTCAAAAAATATATAGAACACAAGGGATTCAATTCGTCATTGACGAAGCTCATTGTATACTTGATTATAATAATTTTAGGTAAGTCTGTAAGTTTTTTAGAAAATACTTATTGTTAGACAAAAAAAAAAAATAATATAATTTGAATATTAGGGATTCTTGGACACATTTAGGGAATCTTAAAAGAAATTTTCCAATGTCTCCAATCATGTTATTGACTGCTACGTGCACATCATCTGACGTTGAAGATATGTGACAAAATTTGAATATTTTGCCAGATAATTTTACTATAATTCGTGGTTTATCATTAGCACGGCAAGAAATTGAAATTCAAATAGTAGCAAAATCTTCACGACAAAACTTATATTCTAGGATTCAAAATAATTTAGTTGGATTAACTGGAAGATGCATTATTTATTGTTCAGGACCAAATTCTTGCCAAGAAATATTTAACAATTTGCATGGAAATCTTACATTTTCTCTTGGCTTGTACCATGGTGAATTGGATGGAGAGCAACGTAAAATAGCAATCAAAAATTGGCAAATGGGTAAGATTCAAATTATGATAGCAACAAATAGTTTTGGTATGGGGATCAATGCACCAGACGTATATCTAATAATTCATACAACTATACCTTTATCAATGAGTATGTATGCTTTTAATGCTTTTTGTATAATACATATATATTTATTTTATTTCTTTAATTTAGCAAATTTTATACAAGAAATCGGAAGAGCAGGGCGTGATGGAACGCCTTCAAAAAGTATTATATTTTATTCAAGAAATGATATACGGACTTTGTTTTTAATAATTACACGAAAAGAAGAAAGGTATAAATATTATTTTCTATATATGTATGTAATTAATTTTATAAAATCTGACAATGTATTAGTTTACCACAAGAAAATGATGTAGAAAAAAGAGTAAGGCATTACGAAGGCCAGCAAAAATTTTTACAAATAGCACATTTTTGCGAAACAAAATATATTTGTCGACATTCATTGATTGCACAACATCTTTCGTGGTCAGATAATATTTCAAATAAAACATGCGGAGTATGTGATAATTGTATATCAAGTTTAGGTGATAAGCCTGTATGGAATGATTTTTCAGCTGATGTAATTAGGTTGTTAAAAATTGCAAAAGAAATTTTGATCTCTGGAAAAATACATGAAATGATATCGTTAGATATTGCAGCAGTTTTTTGTAAATTAAAAAGAGCAAATGAATTGGGACTTTCAGAATTACCAGTTTATAATGAGCCTTTTGAACGTAAATTGAAAATAAAGATAATACATTATTTGTCATAGACGAACTTTGCGCTAAAGGCTTTTTGGTTTTGAACTTTCAACTTCGAAAAACAGCAGCCTTAACTGGAAACTTTTCCTTCAAGTCAGTAATTATTGGACTAGGAGATAATGCCGAGGAAGAAGCAAAACACATTACATGGAAATATTGTTTTAAACAATAAAAAAAAAAAAACTTGTATAATTTTGTAAATTTTATTTTATTGCAAAGTGTATAATTTTATAAATTTTACGAATTTTATTTGTTTGAATCAGTCACATGATTTGTATGTCGATCATTTTCAATTAGCCATTGCCATTAGTAAAAAATGATCTACACAGTATACTCCTCCCTTAAAAATTTATTTCTTTTATTTCTTCTGAATAATGAACGTATTTATAATAAAAGAATTTTTGTAAATAAAATAATAACCAAATTTTAAAGTTTATTAGTATAATAAATTTGATATAAGACTTTTTTTTAATAAAATAAACATTATTTTTTTGTTTTTTTTTAAAAAAAACTGTTACCTTTTTTTAAATAGAAAGAGTTTTTTTCTTTTTAAATAGAAAGAACCTTCTTCTCTTTTTTACAAAATGCCTACACTATGAATATAAACCTGTCTACTTCTACAATGTCTACAACTTCATCCACTTTAACCGCTAATCAAAAACGTGCTCTTCTTTTTAACATCAATGAACCAATTTGATAATAATTGGTGGCCTCTTGTTTCAAATATATGGACTGGGTTTAGTTACAGAAACAATGTTAATGGTAACTCATGGAAATCATTTACCTGCTGTTTTACCAAGCATAATCAATCAAGTTCATGAAAAGAGGAATTCCACTTGAAAAACATTGAAAAACGAAAACTAGGCTACCTGAATTATAGGACCCCGGATATCTCCAAAACAGGTCATAAGTCACACTTTCGGCAGATTGGCCCATTTTTCAGGGCTCAAAAAATCGTTTTTTGTAAATATCTCGGCATCCAGTGGTCCAATTTTGATGAACTTTTTTTTAAATTGTAGAGCTAAATGAGGGCTACAAAATAAAAAAATGTTCATTAAAATTGAATTACTGGATGCTGAGATATTTACAAAAAACGACTTTTTGAGTTTCAGCAAAAAGGGGTGTTTTTGGCCAAAAGTCCATTATGACCTTTATATTAGATATCCAGGGTCCTTGAATTATGCTTTGCTAAAATCAAAGTTTCCCAGTTTATTTCAGAACAGAAAGTACGAGTTGAAAAATATAATGACTCACCTGATCATATACATTTATTGGATGAAAATGAAAAACTTAAACGCTCACAAGTTGTTCAAACTTTAGTTAAACAAGAAGCTCTGAAAAACTATCAATCACCAGCAATAGTTAGTGCAGTAAAGGAATTTGCAACAGAAAAATTGGGTTTAAATGAAAGTGTAAAAGAACTGAGACGTAAAGAAGTTACAAATATCAAGTCTAAAGTTCATGGGTCACTTGATATACATCTTATTGGTAACCTTAATAGAGAATTAGATATTCAAGAGATGATTATTTTTTTAAAAAAACAAGGATACCTAGTTGAACGTTATGAAGTTATTCACAAACCTACCAGTGGTTTTATTTTTATACATCCAAATCAAATTAATAATCTTAGACAATATGGATAGTTAACTCTCATTGATTCCACTTACAAAACTAATAGATATGATTTTTGTTTATTTACCTTACATATTCGTAATACATATGGGTGTTGGAATGTGGGAGCGCATTTTTTTGTGAGTAATGAGGATTGAGATACTGTCTCAAAAGCTTTAAAGATAATTTGAAAGTTTAGAAATCATTGGAAACCTAGATATTTTCTTGCAGATCAAAGTTATGTGAAGGCAAATAGTATTAAAATAGCTTTTCCAGGTCTTAAATATGGCGAACAAGAGTGTGATTTTATTTTCTGCACTGTATATGTTATGCAAACATGAGGACCCCGGATATCTAATATAAAGGTCATAATGGACTTTTGGCCAAAAATACCCCTTTTTGCTGAAACTCAAAAAATCGTTTTTTGTAAATATCTCAGCATCCAGTAATTCAATTTTAATGAACATTTTTTTATTTTGTAGCCCTCATTTAGCTCTACAATTTAAAAAAAAGTTCATCAAAATGGACCACTGGATGCCGAGATATTTACAAAAAACGATTTTTTGAGCCCCTGAAAAATGGGCCAATCTGCCGAAAGTGTGACTTATGACCTGTTTTGGAGATATCCGGGGTCCTCAAACATGGATGAGTAAAATATATGATTCAAAAACTTGGCAAAAAAATGATTCATGCTATGCATAAGATAACTAAGGTCAGTTGTGAAAGCATTATTCAACAAGCAATTGAGTAATGTCCAGTTCCAACTATTAAGCAATATATCAAAAGAAATTTTATAAAAAACACACATCAGTGGGCTCTTTGGACTCAGCAACATTCCCCTTTACTCTTACAAGTGACTACAACAAATCCTTTGGAATCATATCATAGTGAATTAAAAAATCTATCTCTCCAAAATATGGTTTAATTGGTATGAGTTTTTATTTATACTTTTTATTAAGGTGCATGCCATAAAATTATTGCTCTTGATGAGAAAAAACACTCAGATTCAGAATATGTCTCTTTTGAATTTTGTACCAAAAATATTTCTGCAATTGGTGTTGATCATGTTATTCTTCATGAAATTTATAAGTTCCCATTTCCTGTTCAACAAATGCTTGTCAATGAATTTAATGCTGTTCAAGGAAGAATAAAAAAAGGAAAACCAACTCCAGGTCTTATATCACTTAATTGTAATTAGGGATGATCACGGTTCACTAACCGATGACTCGAACCTGAGCCAGATTATAGGCGGTTCAGTTCAGTTCAGTTCAGTTCGCGAGTGAACCGGGTGAACCATCGACTCAATTAATTTTTTATAGCATTTTAGATCATCTAATTAAATATAGTCAAAATTTAATATTGCTTACCAAAGCTAATTTTAGATTTCCAAAACTAAAACCACTTGGCTGAAACTCTGGTCGAAACTTCTGAAACTGGCTGAAATTATCTGTAAATCACGTGACATGCTATTTTGGAATGTTTGTGTAACACATTTTTCAGTTTTTTGCAAGAAACAAAATTTCCTTTTTTTGAAATTAGTGTAATGTCACGTGATATTAGTTAACTCTGGCCGGAATTACAGAATTTAGCCGTAAGTCGATGGTTCACTCGGTTCACTCACGAACCGAACCGAGCCGAACCGCCTATGAACCGAACCGGTTCAGTTCGAACCATGAGCATCCCTAATTGTAATTGCTTATTTTTTCGTCAGTTTTTATTACCTTGTTGGCATATCTTTCACAAACATGTATATGGTGTTTTGGAACAATTTCTGGACACAGTATCTGGGCATTTACTGGACAATTATTTAGACAAATTTTCCAGACAATTTTTGGACAATTTCTGGACACTTATTTTTATAGGGTGTAACACCTTGTAACTCCTTGCTTTTTCAAAGATTATTAAAAAATTTTTTATTATAATAATTTATCCATGAGCAAATACTTATTATTGTCAAAACTGTTAGATGCTCTTGCAGAATTTATTTTGAAGAAAATAATGAAAAGAATTCAGAGTTTAAGGTAATTAATTTTAATAGGAAAATTAGAAAATTCATTAACAACCTAATATAGTGATCATGAGAAAAAATCCATCTTCAATAGGCAAATTTTGCTATATAACTCTAGGAATTTAAGAATCACATAATAATCTTGATCTATTTATCAATAATTCACTATCAGCCTATTAGTTACAAAATTGAAAGGCTAAACTTGTTTAAATGTTTTGACATTTATTATTAAAAGCTTGTACTTAAACAGTGTTAAAACTTACATAGTTTTATGAATTTATACTATACTAGTTTTAATATTGCTTTATATTTCTTTTGCAATAAAATTATAACTGTTAATTTATTTTTCTATTCCAGATCTTTATAATTAAAAACTAAAACTAAATGTATTTTTTCAATAGATTAGTAATCATATAACTAAATTTTTGACTTTGATTGGTCAAATAGTTATGTCAAAATTTAGATGTTTAGACAACTGTCAAAATTTTTAGGCTTTAGGTGGTTTTAATTTAGATTTTTAATACTACTAGCCAAATATAGCTTTACCAAGTAACTATATATTAACCTATTTGTTTACAATAAATATAGTTTATCAATTTTAACTAAAATGGAAATAGAAATAAAGCTGTTTTAAAGGATGGCATCGATGATGCAAATTCAATAAATGAATTTTATGCTTATATTTTAAGAATCCATAGTCTATGCAATATAATTAACATACTATAATAAAGGACGGTCAGATAAAAAATTGTGTTACCTTAAAAATGTATTTTTTCATATTGTTTACCGAATTGCTGGGTCATTTTGTGTAATAATGATTTCCTTTTTCAAAGAAAAATCTTTTTTTATGGCGATTTGTATCACTTAAACGACCAGCCATTTTTATATTATTATATATTATATATTATATATATTAAGCTACAGATTCTTCCTGCTACAGCGTAAAAACATATAAGTAAAAAATATAGGAAAGAGAAATTCAAAAAATACATTGTATTTTACACTTTATCTACCATTATGTCTACCTCACAGTCAACGGGTATGACACGTATGACTCGTAGTGTGACTCGTAAAGGAACGCTACAACCAGGAGAACAAGTTATTGATATTTCTACAGGGTCAACTTCAACTGCCTTTCAGGATATTGACCCCTTTAAAAAGCCATATAATCCCCCACCGGCTACTAATAAAGATGATGAAGGGTTTGAAACAGTTCAATCAAAAAATAAAAAAGCAAAAAAAGAGGATACTGTGACACAAAAACAAAAAGAAGTAATGAAAGAGGTCGACCAAGCAACATTGGGAAGAAAACAGTCTCAACAGAGCGAAACTGCGGCTGCAAATGAGTCACGTGACAATAATCATCCCATTCAGCCGAATTTAACCAAAAATATCACCCCAATGGATCTTGACCAAAACAATGACGATCATAATGCAGGAGATGAAACCAATGAAATTCCTGATGATGAAGATGATATTATTGATATAGCAATTATGGCTGAAAAGCCACAATTTAAAGTTTATTTTGATTTGGCACAAATTCCTGGAAAAAGCCATATTGGAAAAGTAAACCTCGTGAAAAAACTGCTTGCTCAACATCATATTGCATGTTTTCCAGGTAGAATTGATGCCAAGAATATTGAAATAGATGGAACTATCCAAAAACAGCATTATTATGTTTTTAAATGTGCTAATGAAACAGCATTTGAGAAAATTTTACGTGAACCCATTCCAACTAAAATTAAAATTAAACAACAAGATGGTAAAATTGTGGAACAAGATTTGAATGTTACGTTTAACAAAATAGAAAAAAAAGAAATTCCGGCTGAAACTCAACAGAATATTGATGAACACATGATTTTTGTAAACAAGATTCCTGCAGAATTGAGGAATTATCAGATTAAAGGTGTTTTTGGTACATATGGAAATATAGTAAACTTCAAAACTTTTATGAGAGGGCAGTATCAAAATGCTATTATCACATTTGATGACAAATCCGCAGTCCAACCATTTTACTATACTTGGGGCATCTTTATTAACCAACATTTGGTTAGGGTTAGACCCAAAGTTATGTCAGAAGATAAACTACATGAAAGAACAGCATATTACATTAAACTTGCAGGTTTACCACTAAATACATCAGCATTTGATTTAAGAGGATTTATGGAACGGTATAATGTTAAATATCTTGACATTCCAAGAAATTCTCGCTTTAATTATCCATTACGCTATTGTTTTGTTTATTTTCAGAACGAAGAAGATTTTCAAATCGCAACCAAACAAGCATTCTGTTTTAAAGAACACCAATTATATTGGACTGATGTAGATATGAAAACTTGCCACAGGTGTGGCAGTCCTGAACATCTTGCTATGCACTGTGATCATGAAGACAATCGTCCAAGATACAAAAACAGAAAAGAAGTACTTAAAGGTTTTAGACAAGCTAGACAAGAAAGAAATAAAAAATATGGAAGCTATGCACAAGCAGCTCAACAAGGACGTAATAGAAGACAAAGTTTTAATTCACGAAGACCTTGGAATAGAGCGAATATATCACATGATAATAAATCACATGACCAAAATAATGTATTTTCTATTGACAAACCAAAACACCAGAGGCAAATGTCGATGACTAAGAATACAATTCAGGATAGTAATGTAGCCTTTACCATTACTAAAGCAATGGAAAAATTAGACCAACTTTGTAAAAATTTTACAGTTTTACAAAATGAACAACGTTCAATTAGTAATGAACTTAAAAGTATTAAAGTTAAACAAAATACCAAAGATACAACTAAACCAAATACAACAGTTAATAAAGCAGTGGGATCTAGTACTAAAGGAGTTACCAGAAATAATAACAAACGCATTCTCTTAGAAGAATCTTCAGATGATTCAACTCATGAATTATCAGACCTTGAAGAACGCTTTAAACAATCTGAACAAAAATCTCAAAATATGGCTACTGAACTTACAGATCTCAAAGGTACTATGCAAAAATTATTACAATTATTCCAATCATCAAATGATAATCATAATGTTGAGGGGGACAACACTTATGATGAAGAAATTATTGATATTAGTCAATAATTTCATATATTTTTCATTTTAATTTATGATGAACAATACTAATAATAATACTCAAACACATTCATTTAATAATAATTCAAATTCCCCTCTACACAATAGAAAAAATAATTCATCTTTTAACAAATTACCTGATGTTCTAAAAATAGCCACAATTAATATTAAACACCTAACTACGATTAAAAAAGAAGATATTATAGATTTAATTAAAATTAAAAATATTCAAATTTTAGGGGTTTCAGAAAAATGGTTATCACACAAACAGTCAACATTTCAATTCTTGTCAGATCGGCAACAATATACCACCTTTTTCAACAATGAACATTACAATCAAAAAGGTAAAGGTGTAGGTTTAATAGTTAAGAAAAATATAGCACAATATATTTACAGAAATGGTAGTTACAATGGACGAATAATTTTTATTGATTTTATGTTTAAACATAATAAAAAATTAAGAATTATTCAATATTATGGTGTAGTTAATGCAAAAGCTTCAACAGAAAAGAAAGAAGAATCAAAAAAGACAATAAATGAACTTTTCAAATTAATAAGAGAAGCATTATCAACTCAACATGAATTAATAGTGATGGGTGATTTTAATCAAAAATATGAAAAATATAGTGAAAACAAAACAAAATCTACGAGAAACAAATATTGGAATAATATATTTTATGATTTAGAAGAAAAATTTAACCTATACGATCCACATAGAATAATGTATGATATAACACCATCCAATCCAATATATACTTGGACTAATGGTGTTAATTATAGTCGTATTGATTATATTTGGATTACAGAAAATCTTATGATGAATTATGAAGATACTATGTTTACTGATATCAGTCAAGACTTTCGTACAGATCATAAAATGCTTTCATTTTCTTTATGGACGGAAGAATTATGCAGTACTCATTTGGTTTTCAATCATAAACAAGAAAAAATTAAAAAGATAATTTATAAATATGATGAAATGAATAATGAAAAATGGGAAGAATATCAAAACATACAAAAAGATTATCTATCAAATACAATAAATGAACAATTCAATTTTGATGATATTGAAAAACATTGGGATGTTATTAAAAAGGGTATTTATAAAA